CCTCTTAATTGTATTCACTTTTGTTTCCAAATTGGACGATCTGAACGACAGCAAACAAATCGGTAGTTTAATTCACATTGATTAACATAGAAAGTAACAGGAAGTTGTAGACAAAACACCACACAGAAATTTCTGCACATGAAATCTCTTTCACATCAGCTTGACCTAAAGCATACCTTACAAATAATTCTCTTCTTATCAATAATCCAAAATTTTTCAATTGATTGCCCATATAACAGCTGCCGATATAACTTCTGACCATCGACCCCTTTTTTTATTACTCGATATTGTGATTCAACAAGTACGACTATAAAGGTAAATAAAGGTAAAACCAAGGCAAAATTTTGCCTCGATTAACCTACGGTACCTAAAAGTATATTCGAAGAAGCTTCCGAAGAAGCCCAAATTTAAATTACCTCCAATCGAGTTCAAAAATTATTCAGAGATTGCAGTCTAGGTTTGGTATAGAGGATCTCCAAATTGAAGTTTACATTAGAGAGCTCTCAAAGTTAATTTTAAGTCGAGTTTCTTAGTATTATATATATATATATATATATATATATATATATATATATATATATATATATATATATATATATATATATATATATATATATATATATATATATAATATATAATATATTTGTAATATTTCTGCTCTTTATGATATGATTGATAGTCAACTTCGTTCACTTGAGACCTTAGACAAAACTGCTGACAAGTTAGCGGCGATATAGTATCCTCTTATTAAGTCATGTCTGCCAGAAAATATGATTCGTCAATGGCATCTCATGTTTTCGTGTCCATGGAAAATATTGGAAAAACTGCAGAAGTTACAACTTTAAAAACACACTTTAGAGTGGGTTAATGACATTTTCACAGAGTGAAGTTTAAAATGAAAAAAAATTGATTTAGCAACGGAAGCTTTTCGTTTACTAAGCTGAAAATGAATATAAATAGTCTTATTGCCAAGATAAATGTAAAATTACAAAGAACTGATCAGTCCTTAGCGTCCTCTGATGGGTTAATAAATTATGAAATTTACAGGTGTATAATTTTATTATAAGTAATTTTTTCTACTTGAAATAAATTTAGTTTTTTACAAAACTAATATGCACCATTTAAAATGTTTACAAAAAAAAAAACAAAACAAAAAAAAAACAAAACAACAATTTAACTTCAAAGGTAAATGAACCTTAACGCAACACGATACAAAAATTAAAAAATGATATGGAATGATCCAATTATCCAATCCAAAAATTAGAATTTGTGAAACTTCAAATCAAATATGTAATACGATAGCGCAATTTCAACTTACATTGCAGAAGACTGCCGACCGAGAGCGAACTATACCGATTCTCCCGATCGTATATTATATTTTAAGATCCAATACTTGGCCTCGTTGGCAACACTGTCGCTGTTCAGATAATTAAATTTCGAGAAAATCAAAATATTAAAATATGATGCACGTGCTGCCATCTATTCAAGAAATTGTTAAACGTTAGTTTATTTGAACACCACTCATTTTAACTGCGGCGTGAACATACCCCCTTAATGCTTTCTGATAAAAATATTTTTATTTTTTTTGTGATAAATAAATATATAACGGTGAAGGTTTTCCGACAGGCGAATAATTGCTTATGTCCGAAACATAGAAACTCTAAGTTAATTCCGTAAACATTCAACGGTTGGCTTTGTAATTTGTTTATTGTCACTGCAGAAGCCAAAAGCACGGGAAATTGTAAAGTTTAAAATCAAATGGTAAATTCGTTGGAATTATCAGTATACGAGGGATCAAGACATTCTCTCCTTTGTATTTTTCTTGCCGATCGTTGCCCCAATGACATTATTCATTAGACTTTTTAGTCAGTCTTATTTCATTGCACATTCGAGGTTGATTACGCAGCACAATGACAACTGATCCTACTTTTAATTGTAAATTGTTGCGCGGATATCCAGGCAATTCCAATGAATTCCAAAACTCTATAGAATAGTTGACAACGTTATGCTGATTTATAAGTGTGACAACTGATTTAAATGAAAACAACTTTCCAGGAAAAACTTCAGAGAAGTATATTTAATCCAATATACATATCAAATTTCGAAGCCGTTCCGAAGGAGTGTGGCAACTATCTCTGTAACACTAATAACTCTGTCACACTAATTTCGCTATTAAAAAATAGGGTTTGGTAATAGAAGGGTGAAAATCAAGGGTTGTATGTATTATTTAATGCCACGTCATAAAAAATAAAAATTTTGTCCAAAAAATAAAAAAATGTTGGAGTACCCTTAGGGGTATGAAAAATAGATCGCCACCGATTTGAAGAGAAATATAAAATTTCATCAAAATCGGTGAAGCGGTTTCGGAGGAGTATAACAACTAACTCTGTGACAATAATATAGCTATTAAAAAATAGCGTTAGTAATAATATAAGGGTGAAAATTAAGGGTATTTCTTAATGCCACATCATAAAAAAGATAAAATAAAATGTGAAGTTAAACGTCACTTTATGTTAAAATGAACTACAACTGTAAAGGTAAAGTCGTATAAAACATTTTGTATAAGAGTATAATGTAACTGTTTGTATGGGAAATAAATCCGTTATTTCTATCATTTTCTCACCTATTAGACGTTCCTAAGATTTAAAATAAATATTTCAAAACGAAAATTAGCCAAACCAATTTAATCGTTCTCGATTTATTATAAAAGCAGTTATAAGAATATAAAATTACGTGTTATAAATCGTCATTTTATGATATTTTATAACTACATGCATCAAGTGAATTAAAACTGTTGAGGTGAAGTCATATAAAACATTTTGAATTTACAATTAAATAAAATAAGGGTTATTCAGAGAGATAAAAAATATCCTATCTCCAGGGACCAGGACCCGTTAATGCCTAACGAAGGAAGATTTGTATGGTGAAGATAGAAGAGAGTGTTAGGGTAGCGAACACTGGTAGGAAACATATCAGGAGATATTGTGTGTTAGTGATACTGGATGTAAAGAAAGCCTTCAGCTCAACTCGTATCTGGTGGTCCTTCCTGTGAATGAGGGAGAGAGCTTCAATGAGTGCGGGTATTCCGCAAATATCTGTCTCGTGATCTTATTGTGGAATATAATTATAATGTAATGAGGTGCTGCGTCTTCAGATGTCGCCTACGCCTACGATCTAGCAGTCGTGACTAGAATAGAAGATGAATTTAAAGGAAGAGTGCATGTAGCCATTGTGCAGATTGCACTGTGAATGATTGAAATGTGATATGATTGTTAATAGGACGACGAAAACTAAGAAAGTTGCAGATCTGTGTAGAGAGTGTACAGGTAATGACGAATTAAAGTATAGTGCACGTCGAGGTTGTATTATAGGGTTGTAGCACCAATGACGATAATTCCAGATAGCTGTATGCATTTAGAGTGAGTTGTTAAGAGGGCAAGAACAGTATTTGATATCCAGCAAACTACTAGGAAATTCCTCTTCTCAGTGGTACAATCCATAATCTTGTATGATGCGCAGGTAGGCATGGAACACAAGAGACCGGATACGTAAAACTGATGGATTAATGCGAAGATGGATGGAGAGGGAAAAGGCTGACTGCTATGCAAGTATTGGATGTGAGAGAAGTTTAGGCCAGAGGTTGCTGGTGAACGGGTGCTTCGTAGTGAGGAAAATTGGAACCTGTTAATGGTATGATTGCTGCAGTGATGACAGATTGAAATGAGAGAGAGAGCGCGAAGGAACGCAGCAAGAATATATTAGTTTAGAATGGAGCAGAGTAGAGATAGCAAGGTGAAGTACTACCATACAGCTTTTCCATCATGCCCTTTTCAACGGCTGAAAGTTTTTAGTACCAAATTAGTCTTTTTTGAAGAATTTCCATCACGTAAAAACATGGAGGTAGAAATTATACATGACCGAGGGTTAATTGGAAGGTAGTATCAATAAAAGAAGAAGAAAAGTGTTATTAATGCATGTTTTAGTACATTAACGCCATAACGCTATTTTAATTCAAACTACTTGGGGGTCGTTCAAGTATTATGTAACGCAATTAGGGGGAGGGGGTTTTGTAAAACGTTACAGGGCGGAAGAGGGGTTTCGAACAACACGTTACGTAACATTTATTTTTGTACTTAAATAAAAAAATATGCAATTAACATCTCCCATATTGGCAATCCTCTTCATTTTTTTTTAAAGCCAAACAGTGGTCGGCATTTCAATAAAGTCATCTGTTTCCTTGTTTTTACGAAAAGTACTTACTACAGATATTTGCCACAAAGCAAATACTTGGCAAGTGGTAATGATGTAAAAAAATTGTCCATTGTTATACCTCTACCACTTCCTTTGCAAGGTGTTGCTAGTTGTTATAAGACTCTCTCACCTTGATTTTTTTCTCGGTTACTACTTGTTTTTCCTGAATAAATAACTCCTTACAGAGGGTACGTATTTTCGGCATCGCAGAATCACCATATTTTTATACCATACTTTGCTGACTAGGACGGGATGTATTGCGTAAATTTTGTATGGTATCGAAATGGGTATAGCTGTTCGTCAATTATCAAATTTGTTATCGGTTTGTATATTTTACTTAAATTTGAATTCAAAATGTTCTATACCGACCATTACGGAATGTATTCAACATGCTACAATATATTCATTAATCATTACATTCCCTCTAACGCAAGCCGGTCGACTACAGTACTCAAGTACTCAGTTGCTGTTTATTTTTTGGAATTCCGTGGCGGGCTCAGGATCTCCAATATGACTTAAATACTCCCTATTGATGTTTATTTAATGAAATAGATTTATTTCAAAAAATTTTGTTTGCTTAAACTGTCAAAAATTAAGATAAACTCGCAGTGGATACCCTGGTTATGCAACAACATGGAAAAAGTTGTATATATAAGGATTAATTGTATTTTATTTTTATTTTTCTCGAATTGTGACGTTTGTTAAATCATACCGGGCGATAAGAAGTATTCACTAAAAAAAAGCAATTGATTATTAAAAAACTTTATTTACAGATTTTATAAAGAACTGTACATATTTTAAATCCACTTAATAATATAATAGTTTCTTTTTCCTACCCTAAGTAACGTCGAGTTATTCTTCAGTCTATGGATCGACAGATTTATTACCTCACTAGGATTGTTGACTTTTTGATGATTAATATAAAATCCTCCTGCAGAAATTATCCTCACAGCGTCTTCTATAAAAACAAATGTGAAAATAAATTATCAACAAAAAGCTCCCTTGAGAAATTTCTATTTAAAATTCTGATACAGAGAACAGAAAACAGAGAACACTTACGTTTAGTTGGAAAACATTTTGCTTTCATAGCTAAATCTAAGATACTTTGTCCAGCTTCAGGTAAAATTTCAACTATTGTAGCTCCACTAAATATCTGTACTATATCTTTGGCGTTCATTTCACTTAGAGCTGTAATGTTTGCTTCATACAACGCTTCACTCGCCTTTTTGGCTTTTTCTAGGCCTTGCTCCCCATGAACTAGAAGAGTTACCTAAAAAGGGAGAAAAACTATGGAATAAATCTTTACGGAAAAGTTAAGTGCACACATATATAAAATAACGAAATAATAATTAAGGAATATTAATTGCTCTGGACAATCTTTACAAATATTGTATAATAATATAAATAGACTTGTGAATATTCAAATTTTATATAATTCTGTCCTTAGCATGTATCTTGGCACGATATATTTTTGGTGTACGCCAATGCCTTTCTTTGTACCTTTTGTTGCAACGACAGTACGAGTTTTATCTTCTATCTGTTGTATTATGGAGCACAATTACACCATTTGGGATCAAATTAACCAATAATTCTTCTTTTAGTCACTTCACAATTATTGAAACTAATCCTACCGTTGTATTCACAAGATGTTAGTTTGATTTCTTCTTAAATAACTTCCTTTCATAAAGGAAGCTATTTAAGACATTTCTTTTTCCGGACAAATTTTTCTCGATCCTGCGCAAGTCTATGTCCAGTAAATATCCAGTCGCGAATGTTCTTACGCTTGTTTTCTAGTAACTCATTTTCGCCAGTTTATCGTTCCCTTCATGATTAGTTGAAAAATATAATACGATACTAGTTACCTAGAGCAATGTTACCTAGATGAGAACTTTTTCGACATTTAAGTGCAGATCTTAGTGCCGCAAAAGCGTTGATCATAAAATTTTACCACCCTCTGTCGTAGTTTCAGATTTATGTCATCATTGCAAAATAAGGATTTCATTTTAATGAAAGTTCTAAAAAAAAGTTCAATCCGATGGATTGAATGCGATAGATAAGTAGTATGGTAAAAGGATTACTCATGGTTCACGGATTGATAATAGTCCAATTGATCCCTACTGAAATGTGTAAACAAACCAGAAAAACGGAATATAGTAGCAAAAAATATTTTTACATTGATATTTATTTTTAGTTAATCTTTCCCAAAATTCGTACATCCTCTTTAACCATACATATATTTTTCAGTAGCCTATCGAATAACCACTTTATACTAGGGAAATAACTTTTCCATACTATGAAATACATATTAGAGATTTATTTTGTTCCTTTCGCACATATTTGGCAATATTTAAAGATGTATAAGAAGGCTTTTTATGCTCTAGTATCTCCTTAACCAGACTACTGCTTTCCTAATATTATCTATCCTAATAGTATGTTTGGTCGTGGCCTTCTTCGCATACAGAATATACCAGGAACCAGATATGGTCAAACACTGAGGTAGGATATATAGTGTGGATGGAGCAAAATGATCCGATAAGAAAAACTTTGGCCAGAGGCAAGATGAAGACACAGGAAAAATTCATGAATAACATCGAAAAAGATATGAGAAACATATAAGTACATGCTTAGCAGAGGAAGGAGATGGATAAGGAAGACTGGAGGAAAACTTGTGGCGGCTAGGACCCAAATAGGGTTCTAAAGGCTGAATGATATTGATGATTACCATAATGTTATGTTTATGCATTGCTATGCTTTGTGCCCTCCAATAGAAAACTGGCAGGATCCTGGTCTTCCTAGTCTTTTGGCATACGACCATTAGCGCACCCACTGCCCCTACGAGTCCGACACCAACTAAGGTGGAACGATGTCGAAGCCTCGTGGGGCTCCCCCTTACCCGTAGTATCTGTGTTGCGGATACGTCACCCGTCCGGAACTACCTCCCCGGGGGCGGAAAGGCGACGCAGGTGGATTAATTCCACCTCGCACGTAGACAGGTCACCGCCGAGGAATCGCTCCACTACGGCTCTACGGTAGAGGTACGTGCCGGGTCACCACACCACCCTCGGCGGTGTACGGCCGTGGGAGGTATTTACGGTCCCAGCTCGTTCAACCTCGCCTGGCTCTTGTGGAAATGGGAGTAGAGTGGTCCCACGAGATGCTCGTCTCGGATACAAGGAATGTGGATCGGTGACCGAGATGGCTATGCATCTCGAGTACGTTTCCACCAACCGGACACCTCGAACGACGGCTCTCCACCTCTCATTTCTCGTCCATTAGTCGCCTCTTACGACAGGCAGGGTCTTCTGTTCTGACCCTGCCTGTCGTATAAAGTTCTGACAAAATTCTAATGTAAACGAATCACATATTTCTTGCAATTTTTCCTTCAATCCGTTGACGAACCTGACAGGACGTTTTCTCAAAGCTTTTTTCATGTCCCGCCACAAAGTCTCTATTGGGGACAGGTCGGGACTATTAGGAACTCATCCCAAAGTGGTATGCCATGGTTTTCAATCCATTTTAAACTCTTTTTTGAGGTATGACAACCTGCGCCGTCCTGTTGGAAGACAAAATCTTCCGATGATGTTAAACGGTGTTCCATAATCGGTAAAAGAGATTCTTCTAAAATATTCAAATATTTTCCCATGTTTACAATACAGGAAATTTGAGTTTTCTCTTACGACAGTCGGGATAGAAGGCTTCATTTTTCCTGCGAATTACGTGACTCCTACTGTCTCCAACACACACACTTCAAATCTGGACTCATCACTCCATTGTATTGAACTGAGTCCAATCTTTATGCTCTTTTGACCATCTTAGTCTATTTTTCTTTTGTGGTACTGTTAAAAGAGGCCTTTCCTTAGCCTAAGATAAAATGAAATTTAGAAAAACAATTCATACTAATTTTTTCAACTATAAAACTTATTTTGTAAGTACCAAATCCTAATTTGTGGGCCTCTCGGTGACATATTGATCTAGAAACGTGTCTTCCAATAACGTCACTCCATAAAACTCCATATAATTTGCTCGCCGATTTTTAACTATAATTCGTCTTAATGCCCTTCCATCTTCATCGGTTATTTTACTTTTTCGTACATTTCTAGGTTTTGTGACTACCGAACCTGTAATTTTGTATCTTCTAACTAAATTTCTTACACTATAGCGTGACAATTGCAACATATTCGCGATTTCCGAATTGGATTTTCCAGAATTAAAAAATCTAATAATTATTGAACACAGTTTCTTCGATAGCTTTCCCTCGACCCATTGTACAATCCACAAACAGCAAAAAGCTTTACAATACTACAAAATATATTTGACATTAACTGACAATATTGTTTTGATGTCATTTTTCCATAGCTCGCCTCTGGATTGAACGTAATTATAAAAAAATCAAGTAAGTTGACATAAGTGAATGCATAGCCAGGGTTTAGTGAATTTTTTTTATTGTTGAAAATAAATAAAAAAAAAACATAAGGGTAATGTTTTTAATAAATTTTAATAAAAATGCCATATTAATTAATATGGGAACTTATAAATAAAAACGTGCAGAGTATAATTTGTTCATGGTAATCGACAAACTGCCAATACTTGTGAGTATGATCAAATTCAGTTACAAGAGGATCTCAGCAGATTTAGCGATTGGTGCAAACTAAAGAATTAAAATTGAACATTGATAAGTGTTGTGTGATTACTTTTCACAGGAAGCAAACAATTTTAAATTACGATTATAGCATTGATAACACTCAGCTGTCTAGGCAGGACTGTGTTACGGATTTAGGTGTTTATTTTGATTGTAAATTTCGTATTTCGTAAGCATGTAGAGGTCACAGTAAACAGTGCATTTAAACAGTTAGGGTTTATAACTATAAACACTTCTCAATTTTCATGTTTTGTTTTACCAATTCTTTTTAATAGTCTCATTCGCTATAGACTAGAATATGTAATAGTTGTATGGGGACCTTACTATCAAACATCTATAGACAAGCTTGATCGTGTTCAGCATAAATTTGGTAAACACTATCATTACCGTAGTTCTTTACATGACCTCTTTGTCCCATACAGTTAGAGTATGATAGCTGATCACTTGAAAATGGTTTCTATGAATCAGCGAAAAGATTATTTTTGCCTAATATTCCTTTACAAAATTGCTAATAATTTGATAAATTGCCCTGAACTTTTAATTCGATTAGGTCTTAATGGAACTAGGCATACTTCATTATTTCATCTACCATTTCATAATTCAATTATGAATACTTAAAGCCTCTTATTCATATGGTGAGACTACATAATAGGTACCAAAGTGATCTGGACTTATTTTTCCAGTCCTTAGAACAATTTAAACATGTGATAAAGAGACTGCTATTTGTGTAATATTAGTTTGTATTCAAGTTAATTATTAGTTTTTGTTAAACTTTACTAATTATTTTCCAATGTTATGCTTATTTTGTAACATTTTATATATTATATTTTGTTCCAATGTAAATGGTATATCCGTTAATAAATAAATAAATTTCATAGGTGAGCCAACTGATATGGGAAGGGGCTCGTACATATAAATGGAAAGCCTTTATATCAAATAGTAATAATTTAGAAGACAATAGTGCTTGTGTATCAAGAATTGGTTGAGTTTATCAAGAATTAAAAATATATATTGCATCTAAACATATAAAAGGTATTCAATTAAATTATCCTGCAATACCTGCTCTGCAAGCCTTTTTTGTGGAAGCCTTAATTCTGGTTTTTCTTTGTGCTGCCTCATTAAATCAGATATACTGCCTATTGTATCAAATGTGAAAAGTTTAAGAAACTTTTCAACTTCTGAGTCTGGTTGTCTCATCCAAAACTGGTAGAATGAAAAAGCTGATGTTTTTTCTTCAGAGAGCCATACTGCATTACCAGCTGATTTTCCAAATTTATCACCCATTTCTGTTGTTACTAGTGGAAGTGTAAGACCTTGAACATATGAAAAAAATATTTATATAGGGACCTAAAAAAGAAAATACAGAAAATTTGGAAGAAATGTTTTTATTTTTCAATAAACCTTTTCTGTTTAGTTTAACACACTTGTTTGGTATGATCAACAGTTTGCAATCCTGTATATACCAATATATACACAATTATGAGGCAATGCCTCAAAGACCTTACACATTATGAAATGAAAGATAAACACATCAAAAACGCCATAGTTTTTTTTTCATATATACATCATATTTGATTGGATTTTGAAAAGTGACATACCGTTATAATATCTGATTAGTCAGCAGTGAACTCATCTTAATTTTAGTGTAATATGTTAGTCTCTATGATGGAATAATTAAATATAAATATAAAATACAAAAAATGAACAACAAATGTGTCTAATATTCAGTCCTCCAGCAGCTTGACTAATTACAGCTTGACATGCTAAAATTAAATTATCAATTTCGTTTTGAGGCCTAAATATCCTGGATAAGAAGATCTTGAAGACTTTGTCTAGTATGTACATTGTGGCCACTGTGCTGGCTACGGTGAAAGCGTAATATTATCATGATTAAACAAATAATCTTTCTGTTGCTGCAGTATGTGGCCTAGCGTATCCTGCATGTAACCTGCAGCAGTGGCAAATGGAAGGACACCAGGTTCTAAGATACAATCAATATATTAATATTGATTCAAAAAAGGGAACTGTTCGATGATAAAAAATTATTCCACAAACTTGTAGACCATTATATGGACGAACACCCTGTACATGCCTGAGTCTCTCTTGTTGACCAGGTTCTCTCCAACCAAACTCTCACTCTTCTTGTATCAGGATAAAGACGAAACCTAGCTTCATCTGTGAATAACACAGAACTCCATTCTTACAGGCCTCAATGCACATGTTGTGCCCATTTTAATTTTGAGTCCACGATTTCCATGACATAACATGGTAGAAGTAGTAGTAATCTTTATTTTGGAAATTGTACATACATTATATACAAATACATCAGAGCGAAATACACGTTAAAAAAATTACAGAAATCCTGTTACACATCTGAATTCATAAAGTCCATTACCTTGTATGGTTCAATATGTAATAGTAATTTTTGCATAGATTTTCTATACTGAGTTAATTTTTGGCATTACTCTAATGTTATGGGGCATTAAAGAATAGGTTGTGTAGTGAGGTATCTTGAAGTAAGTTCGACTTGTGAAATGACTTTCAATTATTAATAGAATGTCAATTTTGTTGTGTAGTAGAAATAAATCGACCTCATTTTTGTGCTGTGGAAGTCTATTGGCATTCCACCCTGCTATTTTAATGAAGCTATTGAATTTTTAATATAAGCGTTGTCGCTTGTGTTTTGTTGTACTATTTGTTGGAATATATTTTTGAATTCCTCTAGAAATTTGTTCATTATGTCATTCATATTTAGTTGTTGTTCAGTACAGTTCTTACTGCATTAGCATAGCTGCCTAGAGATTGTTTTTGGATAATGGATTAGAGGCACTGATGTTGTTGTACACATTGTAGGTCTAGTTGTTGTATTGTTTGCATTTTGTTGAATATTCATATGAGTGTTGGCGTTGTATGGTTCCTTTATAGTTGGCTGGCTGGACACCAATCACATAAAGCACACATTTATGAGGCAGGGGTATTTTTACCTTTTTTTTGCAGTCTTTTGTATTATATTCTCCACCACATTTGACACACACAAATGGTTTGTTGCAGTATGATCTTGAATGACTATATTGCTGGCATCTGATGCATTGGGTGATGCCTTTTATTATTTTTGGAGATTCCGCTTGTATTTTAAAGATTTGTCAATTTCTGATAATGTCTTTGTATTAAATTATACAAAAAGTATAAAATTATAAGTAATTTCGTAATTTAAACTTTTAAAGGGTTATCTCTTGTATTAAATAAATTAATTTGTGAATGTCTTTGTTATTATCTACTGGTACTAAATCGACGAAGAATATATTTAAAGGTTGTTTCGTCATTCTACTTATGCAAATCATCGTATTTCTGACTTTATGTCTATCTTTGACTAATTCAGTTTTTATTTCACTGATGTCTGTCATATGATGTATGTGTTTGATGACTATTCTGTAGGCACACTCTTCTTTAAGTTGGTAGGTACGGTGTACTACATTTTTGTCCCTCATGTATTTTATTATTTTCCTATATGTGTCTGGTGTATCGCAATTTATCTTTACTACGTTGTCGGCTAAGGATTTTGTGATGTATTGGGTTTTCTGCTATTTAATTACTCCATAGACATATATTGGAGGTGGTTTTAGTGCTTTATTTACGTTTTCGTTAGTTTTAGGGGCTTCTTCTTCTTCTTCTGGTCTGGGGGTGTTAAAGAACTAAATTTGTTATTTGTTACTGTCTCTATGGTCTATTGGTTATATTCTTCTTTTTAAGGTATTTTTGCCTTAAGGTCAAGGATTTTCTTTATTTTACTCGCTCTAATCAAATACTGTAAATTCTTCATCGCTAATTGATGCTGCATAGTGTGTGGGGGAATTGGCTGAGTTGCAATACACTAAGGTTTATTGTCTGCTGACGGTTTTTATATAATACTTGTTGGGTGTTGTAAGATGGGACAGCCTGTATAGTAAGTCCATTGTATGTTAACATTGGTTGGGTATAATTAGTTCCTGGGCCACTAAAAGCAGGTAATGAATTCATTTTTATCTGCTAGTCAATTATTTGACCACTTATTATCATTACAATGATAAGATAATTTGTTTTGTTTTTGTGATTCACACTTTCGTAGCACTATTGATAATGGAGTAATAGACATTTATTACCATCCATTTACATTAACAAAAAAGTGTTAAGGTTTTTATTGAAAAAAGTGGAATAATAATGGTGTTCCTGAGATATTTTTGATGTGTGTATTTTGCATATATCCTACATATATATTTGCGGTTTTAATATAGAGTTTAGCACCTCCTGTCTTGTTTCAGTTACTTGAAGTTTTTACTCATTGTGCTACTTATGTTCCTGGATCCTTTTTGGTATATGCTGTTTCATCATGTTTTTCTGATTAAATTTTAGTAGATATTCTTCATCTTCAGAAATATTGCTGTAACAGGATCCAATTTAATCATTTCTAGATGACTGTGGCCACTTTGATTATTGATATTTCTTCTTTTTCTCCGAATACTCTATTACTTAGGGTGTAGGTCATAGAACAATTCATTTTTTATAGTTTAGTCTGTTAAATTCTGAAGTAAGATTAAACTTACCATAGACAGGTTTTTTGCAAGATTTACTAATTAGTTCATGGCCAGACATGATATTTCCCATTTGGTCATTACCTCCTATCTACAAATAACAGAAGATTTGATTAGTGATCAGAAATACTAATGATTCTTTAAGATAATTTATTTTGTTTAATTAATTCTATTAAAAAAAAAAATGATATACAGAGGACTTAAAAAAATACAGAGAGTATTTAATTCTGAAGTGTGTATTTTAGTCATCATTAATACTATAGTTATGTTTAAGAACTTAAGAGGTAGTAAAAATTAATAATTTGGCATTTGAACTTAAAATTTTTGAATGTTTTGTCAGTGAGTTCTTATTTTTACAGCAGCCATCTAACTTATAATAATTGTTGATAAAGACACAGTAGTTATATAGGAGTAGGAGTTAAATATTTAAACAAATCTTTTCTCTGTCCTTTTAAGACAACAAATTAATTTTATAATTTATTATACATTTGCTTAGTATTAAATATGAAGATTTAATTTCTAAAAGTAATCAGACACTTATCAAAAAAGTATCTTACATACCTGAAAAGAACAATCGTGGTTCTTAAACAAATGTAACCAATCATATGCTTGGAACAGTTGATAACTGAACTCTGTAAAGCTCATACCAGCAGGAGACTGAAGTCTGGTTTGAACACTGGTCCTTGATAACAATGTTCCCATCCTCAAATATCTTCCAGCACCTCCAATTAGATCTACTGGATCCATGACTTGGTACCAACTGGCATTGTTGAGTATACTATAGAAGAAAAGAATGTTAAAAATTATTAATACATGAGAAGTTTGAATACCTAACAGGTTTCAAGGACTTGTTTTCTTTCCATAAAAACTTCTCATGATTCAAAAATATTGTGCCAATATTCTCACAAAGTCCTTGTATGTTTTCGGCTATGAAAGACTTTGATATCTCTTCACGTTCTGTATTACGACCACTAGGATCACCTATTTTGGCAGTGGCACCTCCAACCTAAAATCAAACTATATTCAGTATTGCTATTAAATTGAGAAAAATGAAAAATATAAGCTAAATACCACTTTGGTAATTTTTTTATAAGATCAATTTGTTTTCTAGTCGTAGTAAGCTTTAATAACAGAAATTTAAATTTTACTACTTACCAAAGCTATTGTTTTATGTCCACCTCTTTGCCAGTGCAGTAAATTAATAAGAATCAACAAATTTCCTACGTGTAAACTATTGGCTGTGGGGTCAAAACCGGCGTAAACTGTCTGTGGGCGAGCATTCATTAAATCAGTCACTATATTCCTAGAAAAAGGCTCTTTATTCAGAAATATAGATAAAAGAAAATTCACTTACGCTGAATTATCTGGAAAAATATCCTCAAACATGCCACGTTCTTTTAATTTTAGTATATTTCTATTGGAATAGTGCCTGTGGTAGCAAACTATGCTGGTTTTACCATGGTTTAATAGAAATTTTATAAACATTATTACAAAAGTAGTAAAAGTTATAATAAAGTTGTGATGTGATTGTGAGGTTAAAGTAAACCTTTCATTTAATGGTTGTATGAACACTGAAAGTAGTAGCGCTAATGTCTATTATTTGGAAAAGAAGAAACATTTGAAATTTGAACGATTTAATAGACAGCGGCAGTTATATTTAGTCAGGGATTTACAAAATTTGAAAATAAAATTCAATTTTTTTAAAAAACCAGAATTGCTATCATCAATGGAATAAAACACTATTATAATTAATTCATAATTGGCTTATATTAATTGAATTTTCACAATATTTCACGATTGAAAAGGCTTGTATTTTTGATACTGTTCTAATTGTACATACTTCTTGCAGATGTATGCTTTTAAAATTTATAAGTATAAATTAAAATACAAGTTGAGTTTGATCACAAAACATTTTTTCATATTAAATGTGATTTGATTAAACAAGTTTGGCAAGGTATATTTTTCTACGCAATTAGGTACTCCACCTATGCAACACTCACTTTTTTGAACTACTAATATTGTAGCTAATGTCATACCAGTAAATATGTAAACTCATCAGATCTTTCAAATTCAAACTCAAACATAAAATACATTTGCAAAGTTTAGAGTGCGTTTAGTAGTTTAAAATATTCGTTTTAGTAATTATTTGCGAATTTTTTAATAATGGCAGCTACTGCAGTAGCTGTTCCCCGAAATATAGTACACGATGAGGAAGTAAGTTATATTTTTATTATTTATATATTGCACACTTCAAAGGACTGTCGTCATAACTCAAACTCAAAAAACTATTTTTTTGGATACTTAAAAACACAGTAGTTTTTTGTTTTTGTCCAAATAAATTGTCATATATACAATTATTATAATATATTAATATAATTACCGTTGGTCTTTTAAAGCTTTTAATAAATTTATCTTTTGAAGCCTTAAATAAAAATTTATTATCTTTTTTAAAGTTGTTTCATTATTTTTGTCATGAGTACAACATGCAATGTATTCCACTGTGAATACAATAAATATCCTGAATTCCGACTGGGTTCTGAATCTACTTTCTTGTGACACTTTATATACTTTTTAATTGTATTTTTGGGAATTATATTTTGGGAATTACAGACAAATATAATTGAAAATAAGGTCAACAAAAGACTGCCAACAAAACTAAAGCAGTTAAGCAGTCCTACTTCAGACATTTAGTGTGATAGAAACAGAATTCTTAGCAAACCAATAATCAAGATTAAAATCAATGATGAACTACCACAAGGAAGGCCTCTTACATGTTAACTTAAAGCAGAAGAATTATTCACCATGGTCTACATAATACTTCCCTAGTAGTCTAAGGTAGACAAGGATGTCGCTATATTCTTTCAAGAATCAGCAGACAAAAGAAGAAGTATTGAAAATATTTATGTTTTTTTATAGTTTAGTGAGCTTTAATTTTTTTGATCTTTTGTTGTGAACTAAGTGACTTAGTACTTATGTTATATTTATTTACTAGAAGATTCTACCACAAATGATGTATTTTTCTAGTACAGAATTGTGCAAGTACCTAAATACTCATGCAATCTTTTTTCTGTTCCTTACTTTTTAAGATAAATATTGGTGAGAGGCTTTCCTTTCTGCCCTGTGGTGTTACATCTTTTGTTTTGGAAAACTGCATCTACAAACATGCAACGTCAGTTGCTTTAACAATCCTAAACAATATTAAAGAAACTCTTTAAACATACATAAATGACTGCAAATTTTACAAAAACATTTAGTTCTAGTTTTAAATTTATTTAATGGAATATTTTTAGTCTGAAGAGGATAAAGAACTTCAAGCTGAACTGAAACTCCTTGTTGATAAGATATCAGTAAGTATTATTCTCTCTCTGATTATTAAACTATATAAACTGTGTATGTTTTTTATTTTCAGGGTAATGACTTGTTAGTAATACCTGCATCTATAGACATGATGAAATTTTTGATAAAAACTTCTACTACTTCCATGACTTCAGTTCCAAAACCTCTTAAGTATTTGGCTCCTAACTATGAATTGCTCAAAATGACCCATCAGAGAATTTCAAACCCACAGATAAAAAAGAGTCTTGCTGACATCATATCTGTGTTAGCCATGGGAACTGCAGGTGGAGAGGAAGCTAAGAATAATAGAGATTGCTTGAAATACTGTCTTCAAGGTATATAAAATTGTTTATTGAAACTTCTCTTTATTATTTACAATAATATGAAACAGTTTTTTATTCTATTTATTTTTATGTTCTTTGAATGGGATTAGTTTTGAATTGGCATTCTAGTTCCACATTTATTCAATTTTTCCGGCACCTTTTCTCTTGTTTTTCATTTTAGCTATTCTCCTATTTTTTGCTTAAAATAGCCTTCTATCAAGTGTGAAATTAAATGTGGTGGGAATTATATTTTTTAACAGGACAAAGCGGCCTATCATACAGCCAGAACCACAAACCACATTTGAAAACTCCAGTATAAATGTTCTTTCTTGGCCTACTAACAGTCCTGACCTAAATGTCATTGAAACAGTATAGCATAAAATGAAACTGACACTAACGAATAAACCATAATAGACATTAATGAACTTAAAGGCCAAAATAGAGCAGACTGTCATTAATTTACCTCTGAACAATGCTGGCCCATAGTTGAATAAATGCCTAACTCAATTTCGTTTTAAAAATAAATATTTGTTTCCTGTCCCAATATTTAATTGCCAATAAAATAAACATTCTTTATTATTAATTAATTCTGTTAGAGTAAGTATATTTGTTTGGTGTTGCTGGTTGAACCTATATTATTAGTAATTAACTAATTACATAGTAATACTTCAAAAAACATGATTAGAAAAAAATAAACTGTCAACTATCTGAATTTTTCATGTATTTTAGTTTGTTCCATTACATAATTATTAAGATTATTTGATTGTAGAAATGATGATAATTATTTGATTTGTACAAATCAAAAAGTTAATAAATATTTAGTGTTTCTTCAAAATATAATTTTGTATATATATGTATATATATATATATATATATATATATATATATATATATATATACATATATATTACAACTAGGACCAACTGAACATTTTCAATGTAGGTTTTTAAATGTTGATTTCCACCACTGTACTATAATAGGTTTTCCATTTAGGTGCTGATGAAGGTGACAACATATCACCGAAAATTTCACATATAGAATAAAGTTCTACACCAAGCTGGCTTATACCATCTCTAGCTGATCCTTGTTTTGACGCTTTCCCGAAAGTTACCCTCCAAAGAATTATATATATATATATATATATATATATATAATATATATATATATATATATATATATATACATTTATTTATATATACATTTTCCTGTAAGTTTTCCATATTGCATTTAACATATCTTTTCTCTTTTCTGTGATATTTTTGGGGTGACCTATTCCAGGTATTTTAAATTTCATATTTTTTCCTAAAATATTAAATTAACTTTTAGGTACTATGGAAAAAATCGGCGATTGGGGACACGAATATATCCGCCAATTGGAAAAAGAAATTGTCCAGCAATGGACTTTTAACTGTGAAAAGAGCTGCAAATCGATGATGCCTCTTATCCACGATATAATGACCTTTAATAGTACCCATAATGCGGAGATCCAAGGCTGTGATCTTCTGACTGAAATCGATCTTTTACACATTCTTCCGAAGTATATGGATAAGAGTAATTACAAAAGAATATGCCTATATCTTTCACAATGTGCTAAATATGCTGATGATGTCGAAAGGTGTAAGATTATGAAGCTGGTGTATGAACAATATATGGCTTTTGGAGAGCACTCCAAGGCTATTATCGCAGCGATTCAAATAAACAAATCTGATTTAGTGAACAAGGTTTTCGTCGAATGCCAAGATAAGTAAGTAATATTTTGAAAATAATAATTGACAGATTTGTCTTTGGTTGTTCTTTTACTTTGTGAAATAATTTTCTACAATCATAGATTATAACTGTTCATGTATCAAATAATTTTTCAATGTGAATAATTAGGAAATATTACGAATTGAAAAAGAATATTTTTCAAAATGAGCTGCAGTTGCTGCAACTTCCATAAAATTGTCAAACTAAAGATTTGTGTACAAAAATGGTATAAATATTCAATTCTCTTTTATTGAAAAGGATCATCTGATGTACAGCTGGTTCCTAAAAAAACTGATACGTCTCTTAAAGTGTATTTTGTAGAAAATTGAGCAGTGCATTTTGAAGAATAAATAAATACTTATTATTTAAATACTGTCGCTGTTACTGCCAAATCTTAAAATTTCTTAGATAACTTATTCTGTTTAACCAAAAAAAAAATGGCTTAACATGCTAGCAAAGAACTAAAAGCAAGAATTTTAACGAAATTAGAAGATGGTTGGTCACTATCTGCCGTAGCAAACCAGTTTAACGTAAGCAGAACAACGGTTTTTAATTTTAATAAAAGATGGAGAGAACAAGAAACTCTTGAAAGAAAACAAGGTTATCAAAAATATCTACCGTTCATGAAGATCGTACGTTTTTTTTAGAGATAGAAGAGAATCCTTTTGGAGGTGCGAAAACTGCAAGAATTATGTGACAGTTTCCGGGAAGGAAGACAACAACTTGGGGCATAATTAAAGCACCGCTTCTTAGGTACCGAACTGCAGCAATATATGGACTTATATTTGCTTTAAACCATCAGCTACAAAATCCAGATTTTTGAGACAGGGTAATATTTACAGATGAGAAAATTTTTCAATTTTCTAAAAAGGGCAAAATTGGGATGTATAGACCAGATAATAATAGATTTAATCCTCTATATGTAGATAGATGGAGCAAAGAAGATCCTCTTATGGAGCAAAGAAGAGAGTTTAAGAATAAAGACGCAGAAAAGTACAAGGAACAGTACAAAAAGGTACTTAAAGAAATAAAATTAGCAAAAGAATCCTGGCTGTTAGAGAAATACTTAGAAATAGAGATCCTACAGAAAAAACATGATATATTCAATATGCATAGGAAGATCAAAGAAATGGCAGGAATATATGGAACAGCAATCCCCACTGCAACAAAACATACTATTCAATATGCAAGAAAAACTGGACAGATGGCAGGAATATATAGCAGAACTGTTAAGTGACAACCAACACATTGAAGTATATGACAACGTCGAGAATGGACCAACAATAACAAAATCAGAAGTAAGATCTGCTGTAAGTCGTTTAAAAAACAACAAAGCGTGATGGAATATATGCTGAGGTATTGAAATTGAAAAAAGACAATTAACTTAACATTATGATAGAATTATTTAACCGTATATATGAAACAGGAACTTTGCCAAAAGATTGATACATGTCCATATTTATACCACTGCCAAAAAAATCAAATACTAAGAAATGTGGAGAACACCGAATCATTAGCCTCATGAACCACTCACTCAAAATATTCTTAAACATCATCCATGCTCGCATATACAAGAAATTTGAGGAGGGTAATTGACAAAGTACAGCATGAGAGGCTTATTGAAACTGTGCGAATCGCAAACATCGATGACAAGGATATAAGAATAATAGCCAATCTCTATAGAAAACAAGTTGCCAAAATTCGAGTAGACAATCAATTATCCGATGAAGTCCCAATACAAAGAGGAGTACGACAAGGTTGTATACTCTCGCCTTTGCTGTATGCTTGCATACTGCATGCATGCATACTCTGAACATCTATTTCGAGAAGCTTTGGGAGAAACGACTGATGGCGTGATTAAGTAATAAATAATGTAAGATATGCAGACGACACTGTCCTTGTTGCGGATAGTGCTGAAGGATTACAAAGACTGATAGATCAAGTAGTTAACATCGGTAGAAAATATGGAATGAAACTTAATAATAAGAAGACGAAAATTATGATCATAAGCAAAAGCCAAGATACAGATGCAAAGTTTATGGCAGACAATGAGGTATTGGATAGAACAGAAAAAATAACATACCTAGGATGCAACATCGCAGACAGCTGGGATCACTCATACGAAATTAAATGTAGGATCAAAAAGGCAAGGAGTGCCTTCCAACAGATGAAGAAAGTTCTCTGAAATTTAACCTTGAACTTACATCTACGACTCAAAATCCCTAATTGTTATGTGTTTTCTGTTCTTATGTAAGGAGCAGAGGCATGAACACTGTAACGAAAGTATTTTGCCTACCACATGGGGTATTAATACAAGGGGTAGAAAATTGGGGACTGAAACTAAGGGGGTGGAGATAAGACAAGCAAGATAAACGCTACTTGTGCGAACGGCACTCAGGGTTTGTTAGGAGAGCTGGGGTCGTGGATAAGTAAAAGATAAGGGGGGTGGATTGGGGCAACTACAAAAATATGAAACAAAAGGTCATGAATCTCTTGGGATAAACAAAATAAAAATAAACAATAAACACCTCTAGTAATTTAATATAGGGCGTCACTTTGAGGTGCCTAATTATACCTATTACAACCACTAGTTGTAATTAGGGAAATAATTATTAAACATAAAAAACATATCTTTTCAAATAAAACTCAAAAAGGGGTTAGTTAAAAAAATAAACAAAATGTTAAGAAAACAAAATTGAACATTTATTGTGTCTTACCACAAACAGTTACAAAATATGGAGAATTCAAGAATACTCAAAAAGGACAATACAAAAATATTACCTCAATATAGTCGCAAAATACAAAAATTCAAAAAACTTACATGTCATCCATTTACAAACTCTAGGACTTGGAGATACGACAAAAAACTTACAAATGTTACCGCACAGAGGTTAATCTTTTTTTTTTTAAACAAACAAAACAAATAAATATCGAAAATAATAAAGCTAGCTCTCATATGTTAACATTATATTTTAAAAACTGAAAACAAATAAAACAACAGCTAAAGTTAAAACCTAAAATTTACAATTTAAAAAAAAACAAAAATTTAAATTGTTACAAAAGCAATTATTTTTCTAAAAAAATGTCTGTCTTTACTTAAAAATTAAACAAACAATAAAAGTTACCTGGATGTCACAATCACTCATTAAGTTGTAAACTGGACTTCTTAATTAGGACGAATACAGATCTAAGGTTGAAAGTTGGGGTACTGGAACACACCTTTGACTCGTCTTTCTAAAAAAATGGAACCATCGTAGCTCCGACCAACCAAATACATCTGCTCACCATCGCCTACATTTCAAACCTCCCCTTAACTGCAGCTATCAACCGCCACAAAACCACTCTTCACCGCTACATATTTCCATCAAAAAGTGGCCAAAAACAGAAAACTACAAATTCGACGGATGAACTTGGATCCATAATTGAGTCTACAACGACCCAAGTAAGAATGGCGAAATTATCTTAAGAATTCGTTCACATAACTTGAAATAACAAACATTTGACAGGAATTTAAACGCAGAAGATTCCATTTCTACGACGTATAAAAATTATAAGGCGACTTCGAATAAAACATTAAAAGAAAATGCCGAGAATGTACACATCTTTAAAATAATAAACAACTCTAAAATGGTTTTTATTACTAGGCAACGCTAAAATGAATTGAAAGAATTCGGTGTTTTAAATGCATTAAAAATACTCTTCAATTTTTCAAACATATGAGGGGATTTCAATATATTACATATACGAGGGGATGTCAATGTACACCAAAGAATCAATGAAATTGCAAATGCTACAACACTCACTGATGCGTCTTGCAGACGGTTGCAGTCTTTCGAGATGTGGTGCTATCGTCGCATGTTTAGAATATCATATGTACATCATATAACTAACGACGCACCAATGCAACGTTTATAAAAAGAACCTGAAGTCTTGAAATCCATTAAAGAGAGAAAGTTAGCACACTTCGGACATATAGTGAGAAATAAAAATAAATACAGAATCCTACTATTGATATTAGAAGGGAAAATAGAAGGAAATAGAGGACCAGGACGCCGCCGAATATTCTGGCTTAAGAATTTGAGACAGTGGACAGGTATGACCACCACAGACCTATTTCGAACAGCTGCTAATAAAATACGATAAGCCATTGTGGTAGCCAACATCCATAGAGGATAGGCACTAGCAGAAGAAGATATGTTGACAGATATCGAGCAGCTGGTCGATTTAGCGCCAATGTATGGGGATTGATTTCATTTGGAGGAATGGGAATGGTATGGCGTATTGATGGCAGGTTTGTTGGGCAGACTTATCTGAATATTCTAGAAAACATCATGTTTCCTAGTGTAGAACAGTTGTATCCAGAAAATAATTTTATCCTTCAACAAGATAATTGTCCTGTTCACATTGCAAATATAATAAACCAGTGGTTCCAGAATAACAACATCGAAACCTTACCATGGCTCAGCTACAATCCCGATTTAAATCCAATCGAGAATGCGTGTTGGGTTATTATAAAACGGTTGTGTCGGCGTTATTGTATACTTCAAAATACTGAAGAGCTGTGGCACGGTATACAACAGGTTTGGGAAGAGCTTTATGAAGAAGACAATTTCATAGTTCCTTTCACGTAAATGGACCGAAGACTACAAGCTGTTAACAATGCTGATGGAAATATTACAAAATATTTATTTTATTTTTACATATCTAAATTTAGTATAGTTTTTGTCTTCCAGACCCTCGCTTTCTTTCGAGAGTTTCTTGTTTCCTCCATTTTTTATTAATAGAAAAACTATGGTTTTGCATATGTTAAGATGTTTTGTTGCCTTTGATAGTGCCAAGTTAACTTTTAATTTGGTTATAATTCTTGCTTTAATATATTGTTGAGTTAAGTCGTTTGTTTTATTCCTTAATAATAATAAAAATAGTAACAACAACCCTATTTTATGTAAAAACTATCATTTATGTACTCTTTATAAAATGCAGTAATTCAAAATAATATAATTTAGACCTTAAGGCTGTTTTAGCAGTCAAAACACACTGCGATTTGAAATGGGCGTATCACTTACTTTTCCTCACTGCTTACGCCAGCCGACGACGGGTACAGCTGTTTTCGCAGTGGCGTCGGCCGGCGGGTGGTTTAATGACAACATGCATTATTCTCCATTCAAATTACTTTTGTCGGGAATACCTTTTTTGTTTGATTATCGTAGATGTTTTAAAAATAATTATCACATTTTTAATTTATAGGTCTTAGCTAAATATAGTATTGAATATAAATTTGTGAAACGTGACTGCAAAAAACACCATGGTGTTTATTTATAATAAATTTAAAATAACATAAAAATATTATCAAAAAAAAATACAATTTGTTGTCACAAACAAATAAACAATTTCGCAGTTATAGCTTGAAATTGATTTCAAATCAAACTATCTGACCGTACGTTCATGAGATTTGACGTCACGCAGCCGATAAAGGTGAAACTAAATGCCAATGATGAGTAACACGTTTCACTATTAGATTTCAGTATTTTTTAGCAATTTTCTTCAAAGTTTGAACACGCGCTTTTCTCGATTATTACTGTACATAAAAAGGTGAAAAAAAACCAATGATTACAGAAAAATAAAACTCTTTCAAGTGATGGGCGTAAAAAGTTTGGTTATAATAGAACGTTAAACTGTATAATCCGATATTTCAAAAGAACTTTCAAAAAAATTAAAAAAGTAAAACCATCAGTTTAAAGGCAACATAATTTTGAATAACGTGTCCAAATTTCGAGATATTTTGTCGGTAAATAACAAAGAAAACACTATATCTAGGTTTTGGTGTACCGATAAAACAGCCTTAATAATTATTACAATTCATGAATTAATATATGTAATCAATTGTTTGTTGTTTGTTTGTTTATTTTATTATTTGTTTGCCATAATAAATATAATATAATGTCAGATTAATCAAATACACTGCTCAAAATGATCAAATCTGACTAAGAGTTGTATGAGTTTTTCAGGAACCAGCTGTACAAACATTACCCTTATGTGGGCGTGTGACAAAATTTACGTAAGAGAAGGACGTAGTGAGGGTACTGTGATTAGGAGTACTATTTCGAAAAATTCAGTAAATAATAGATGAGGATTAAATAATTTAAAGTATTATTTAATACTTATTTGGATCTACATAATATATATTTGTATCATACTTATGGATATAAATATAGTTCGTTTGCTTAGCTTGATAGGAATAATTTGATAATGTATTTTTATACTTTCTTGTTCCTAAATAATTCATGAAGGAGTATATTATTTAGTACTAACAATGTTGAGAACTTGAGTTAATTACTTTTATGTTTTAGAGTAACTTTATGCCAACTGGCCTTTATCTGTTCCCGTCAATGCTACAATGTGGATCTCGATCCCAAGTGTAAATATTACGATGAGCTGATTGAAATATTAGGTAACAGTCACCTGAATACCTATTTTCTCAGTCTGGCTAGAGAGGTAAGTTATACTCTTATAATCCACATATTCTATATAATCTATACACTGCATAATACCTTACACTATCCCTAAAATTGACTCACGCTTTTAGGATTTCGTTTAGTGGTTATATATTATTAAAAATGTTCGCTCCAACCCCCGCGCATATCCCTACGCTAACCTCCACCCAAACCACGTCACCATTGACGGTGTAAATGACTCGATCTCGGTTGAGTTTACCGAAAGTACAAGCTGATTATAGCCACAGAAAAAGTTTATTTTGTTTATATTATGTTATGAATTCTGCAATTTTTGATTTATATAAAACAAGAATGAATAAATATTTGCTTCTTTTGAGATAAATTGCAGTTAATTATTAGATTTTTTTAGCAATTACCCTTTGATAGATTAGGGGATACATTTGGCAATCGTCAAATCAGCAGTTGTCAGATGTTTGCAATTAATTTCGAAAAAGATAAATATTTACCCGTATTGCTTCATATAAATTGAAAATTGCGGAAATCATGAAATAGTACATCAAAATGTACTTTTTAAAAGCTTTATCTCTTTATATTTGAAGCATACAACATATGCATTATAAAAACATGCCAACACTGCCAAACGCAAATATTTTTGACATTTGCGGCTATATTCAGCTTGTCCTTTCGGTAAACTCAACCCTCGTTCTCTATTCCCACCACCCGTAATACTTTGATTAGCGATCAGTGTAGTAGTGTCTGGGGGCGCAGAAGACTGAGACCTTGAGAAGCTCGGCACAATGATAATCGACGCGGTTTAAGGCCTATCCTCGATAATCCTAACGGTAAAATTCAGTGAGCTATCTATTTCAAAAATATCTTTCTTTACGAAAACAAAATCCATTCACGAAGAATATTCTAAACGTCAGTCATCTGGTACTAAATTTTATATTTTTACCTACTTACAACCCCCTATTGTGAAGTCTTGGGTGTATACAATAAAGCGAGCGGGAGGTCTTCTATTCATTGCGATTATGGGGTAATTAGAATAATACGAGTATACCAGAATAATATTATTTATTAAATAATTAATTCACAACTTAGCAAGGGTACATACAGGTAACAAATAATCGTCCTGTAAATAATTCATAACAATTAAATCGAAGACAAACTTTTATAAAATTTTATAACAAAATAATGTATAACAAGATATAAGTGTATTGGTTTTTTTATGTCTTATATTTTCTTTTGTTATTGTTTTTTTGCTGGCAAATTGGCTTTTAACGTATATTACAGTTTGATGATAAATATTCTGAAATGGAAAATGTTGAGATGTGGCGAATAAAAACATTCATGAAATTAAAATGAAGGGATTTACGTCTATTAGTGGTGCGATTTATAAAATTAGTAGCTCAAATCGCGGGAGGAATATATGCATTAGTTTTCAAATATTTATTATTTACGATATAATTTCTAAATTGAACCACTTTCACTTCTTTAGGTAACAATGTATCTGTCTTGACAACTAAATAGGTAATTAGACAAAATAATGATTATTATTAATTTCAAAACAGGAGTTTAAAGAATTAGAAGAAGGTAGTCTGGGCCCAGTTAAACAATCAAGTTTATTCCAGTGGAAGCAATCAGGAGGATTATTTTTCGTTTTGGCTCAGCTGACATGCTCTCTCTAGCACTAGAACCCATGAAACTATGGTAAAAAGCATGATTTTATTTACACGGTTGTGAAACGAGACGATTAACAGAGACATCGAAGAAAGATATGTCGCTGAAATGGATGCAATAAAGTATGAGAATAGAAGGTACAGTCATGGATGGCATACAATGAAGGCATCTCAAATGGTACGAACATGTCCAATGAATGAAAGACACAAGACTCCCGAAACAAGTACCTCTATGAACAACTACAGGAATCCAGAAGAGAGGACTACCGTAGAAAACACGGATGGAAGGAATAAAAAACTCAATGAGCTCGAAAGTACTTAAAGAACAATGGAATAACCGAATTCAATGAAAAATGGACGTCGGAAGACGTTTTATACGGATTATATCATATTACGAGTATAGGTACATTGATATTATATCATATTATATATATTTATATAATATATTATATACACGATATTGAAGGAGGTTACAACATAGACAATCAACAAAATCTACATTGTCAACTACATAGTGAAGACCCAACAATAATAGAAGTGTCAAATGCCGTCTTAAAACAAAAAGCCAATAAAGCCACAGAAATCGATTAAATCTGTTCGGAAATGTATGAAAAGTTGGTGATCAACTTTTTGCAGTAATCCATAAACTAATAGTACTTATATGGCAGAATGAATTGGTACCAGAAGAGTGGCTAAATGAAATAATATGCGTTGCATAAAGGGCTATCAGCTGGATTGTAGGAACTATAGAGGCATTACTCTGTTAGCATCTGCGTATAAAATCTTCGCCAATGTATTGTTTGAAAGACAAACATTTTACAAAGGATATTGTTGATTTACTGCTGCATAATCAACTATACATCAAATTCAAGCACATGGGCAGATTCTAGAAAAGTCACTAGAATATAACATAGATACACGTTATGACAGCCTATGACAGTGTTAAGTAATGATAGACTTTGGTTGGGATCCCACCGAAGTTAGTTAAGTTGACCCAACTAACAATGTAAAACGTGAGTTCGTGCGTTAGAATTGAAGGAGAAAACTCCATGTGCTTTGACGTTAATGATGGTATAAGACAGGGGGAGGCGCTGGCTTGTCTCTTCTTTAATGTTGCCTTGGAATAGGCAACCCAGAAAAATGAAATATTATAATGAATGTAACTATTTTTAATAGAACCATAAGAGACATGGTGCAGTGTTTTACAAGGCTTGCGGACGCGGCAAGTGAATTAGGACTTGTGGTCCTAATTAGAAATGGTAAATGAGGAAAAACCAAATATAGGTTGGTTTTCCAACAGATAATTCAAATTAACAACCATACCTTTGAGCAAGTCAAAGAATTCACTTATCTTGGATCGCTAGTAAACGCAACAAACACGACAAGCAACGAAATAAAACGACGCATAGCAATAGCAAACAGAACTGTTCACGGTCTCCAGAAATATTTAAAAAATAAAAATATAAAACGTGCAGTAAAGCTCGATATATACAAGAACTTAATAAGACCGATTTTGATATATGGGGCTAAAACGCGGATCTTATCTCAAAATGATGAAAGACTTCTTGGTATTTTTGAGAGAAAAATTCTTAGAAAGATTTTTGAGGTCGTAAATGAAAATGGAGTATGGCGTCTCAGAGACTTAGATGGGCTGGACACATTACTAGGATGTCAGATCACGAATACATGAAGAGATTAACATTTTCAAAACCAGAGGGCAGAAGAAGTTAAAAATGACCACGAAGAAGATGGATTGATAATGTGTCAGAAGCGGATTCTAAGGGTCAGAAGATGAAGGGAAGTTGCCAAGAATCAACAGGAGTGGCGATTTCTGTGCGAGCAGGCTAAGACGGATTGCCGAGGCATTTATGATGATGGTTGATGATGATATATACATGGTTAAGTACCGAAACCTCGTAAGTCAAAATCTACAACTTTTCAGTAGAGCAAAAAAACGTCACTGCTTAGTACACGTGTTTTCTTTTTCTACTTTCTTTTCTGATGTAATAATTCAATAAATGTATTTCTGTTGTAATAATTAAGTAAGTATTGAGAAAAAAAAATATGTACCAAGCAGCGAAGTGTTTTCGCTCTCCTGAAAAGTTGTAGATTTTGACTTTTGACATTTCGGTATTTAACACTCGATATATTGAAAATCAACTTCATATATTGAAAAGTTTATTTCCTCTTTCAAGAAATTCTACAATGCAAAAGAAGATTGAATGCAGAGAAGAAAATATTAAAAGTAGAAAAAAATTTAAATGAGTAGGTATAACAAAAAATAATGAAAGGCTTACCAACATTTAAATTCTAAAAAAATGTTGGTTAATTTACATAAAAATAGTAAAAGGCTGTTGTACATCTTGAATAACATAAAGCTTATTTATATAAAATTTCCTCAATCGTCGTCGACTTTTTCGTCCGGAACATAAACGTCTTCGCGAACTACCCATTTTAAAAACAACAAAACACACTGGTTTGTCAAAACTAGTCAAAAGTCGAAATAAGCCCTAATAATGTTATTCAACATTATTTATGACCCTCCCTCTTTCTTACCGACTCGTCGGCGAGAGACCAGAAACTATCAACAAGGACAGCTTGTACTGACCGAGAGAGACAGTACATTTAGCACAATTTAACATTTTTTAAATAGTTTATATGAAATAGCTGCTTTGTGTTACACTTTATGTTAAAAATAAAAACAGATTCGGAGAGTGGGTAAAATTCTGTAGTGCCCTATTTAAAAAAAAAAAAAATTACGTTTATTTTAACCAAAAATATTTAAAAAAAAAATTGTTTAAACAATTTATTAATTTACAACCAAATAGTGCACTAGAACTTTTTAAGACCTTTCATATAAAAAAAGAATCATCTCAATATCTGCCATAGTTTTTGCGTTATTTGATATAAACTTTTACATTGGAATTTAGTTATGCCCAGAATCGCGAGGAATGGCCTTAACCTGAAGACTGTCGAGTTTAATATTAATGGACCGCAGGAGTGGGACGTCACAACTGTCACATTGTCATTATTACTTTTCAAACAAAAGTTTAAATGTCCAATCTCAAGACTTTTTAATTTCTATAAAGTTAACATTTTGCTTCCTCTGCTGCTTTTTCTTGTAAGCATAGTGTTTTTTACTATAATACCATCATAATTCAGAGTTCTATTTCTAGGAAATATAGTTTAAAAGTTAAAAATTGTTGTAGTAACTATTAGAATACTTAAATATTGCAAAAAGCGGAAAGATTCTATAAAATAAATGAAAAAATAACTAAAAAAAAACAAATTATCCACACTAAACAAGGTTTGTTTGGAAAGTGAAACTGACAGATGTCAATAAAATCTACGTCATCACTCCTGTGGTCCATTCCTGTAGTAGTATTAATCTTAGCTCTAAGTTTATTATTGTACTAACCGCGGATACTTTTCGGAATATATATATATATATATATATATATATATACATATATATATATACATATATATATATATATATATATATATATATATATATATATATATATATATATATATATATATATTGCCATTAAATATACATCCTTACGATAAATTCATTGTAATTTAATAAAATTCGTATGTACCTATAAATCTAAAAATATAGTCTAGTTTGTGAGACTGCTCCCGTAGCAAAATGTTTCTGATTCGGTTTCTTTGCATATTCCTGTTCAAAAATGTCCCTTTTAAACAAATCTGAAGGGTGCCGGGTGAATTTTTCTGTAGAAAATTGTTAAACAATGTTTTTAAACGAATTCCAAAAATCACCTGCTTCTGCTCCGGAAAATATTTTTTTTATTTAAATGTTTAAATTTACAAACTGTTTAAACTTTGGTAACCCCAAAAATAATAATTTACTTATGAGTTTTCAAGCCTCGAAAATACATATTTTCGCATTTTTTATATTTTAAATCGCTTATAACTTGAAAACTATCAAATTTAGAAAAAAATGACAAGAGACCTTTTGTATCTTGTGATCTCTTTGATCAATTAAGAAAAGGGGATTTTTAAAACAACCAGAAGTGTTTATGGCCTCTTATGAAACTCTAAGCGGTATATTTCACGTAATTAAGGATGAATATGGAAGTGTTTACTTCGGAGTTAAAATCTTATACAGGGTCGCATAAAACTTACTGCTTTCTGAATTAAATTAAATTAAAAAAAATTTAAATGTACCTAAAAGTACACCTTTAAAAATGGGACCTACCAACTTTCTTTGACATATTCCAACACAAACACCAACTTTTTGTGGACATTTAACTTAAAAATCACCTCACATTCTGTGAATTAACATATCCAGAAAGATAAAACCAAGCTTCAAAAACCAAAACTTTCTTTAACTTTTCTTCCCAAAAAAAACTTTCAATATTCTTAAAAAACAAATTCTAGGCCATCTCTGGCCACCTTTTTTACTTTTTAAACCCAACTTTTCTTCCCCGATGTCAAAACAAGAGTCCTGGGTGTCTCTAGTCGAATAAGCATGTCTGCCAAAACTGTCGCTTGGGATCGCTGCTCAATACCAACTTAGAAAATTATAAATTACTAAAAGATATCGACTGAATATTGATTTATAGATTTTATTTAAAATGATGCAAGTCGTCACAAGCCGTCACTATTGAAGTGACGGACTCGTTACACATTCAGGAATCGAATACTACTGTTGACCATTCTGTACAGAAGTTATATTCCATAAGGTTGGTTTTCTGTTGAACATCATTGTTTTAATTTTAAAAAACCTTGAAAAATATTACGTTTATAACCAAAAAGAGTTATAAAAATATCGTATTATACGCAAACTATATTGATAATACCAATTCACATTTCACTAAACTACCAACAAATTACAATTGTTTGCGATGACTCTATACTGGAATATATATTTTCTGCAGTTAGATATTATGGAGCCAAAGTCACCCGATGATGTCTACAAAACTTGGCTGGAACCCGTACCTCCCCGTTTTGTATTACTAGGCGAAAGTTTAGACAGCGCTAGAAAAAATTTGGCTTCCTCTTTCGTTAATGGTTTCGTCAACGCTGGTTTTGGTAGTGATAAGCTTATTACAATCGATGGTGGTGAGTATAAAAATTTATTTAAAATAAAGGATTATTTGCATGGCTTCTGATACAAGAAAACCATGAGTGGAATGAATAGATAACATAGATTGACATTTTTGTAACAAAAGAGTAATCGTAACATTTTTCAATCAATCTTCTTCTTCTTCAAGTGCCCTGTCCGTTGCAAACGTTGGCTATTAACATGGCAATTTTGATCTTGTTTGCGGCGTTTCTGAATAGTTCGACCGATGTGAGCCCGAACCACTTCCGCAGATTTTGGAGCCACGAGTGTCTTCTCCTGCCTGGCCCTCGCTTACTGTCTATTTTTCCCTGGACCATTATTTGTAACAGACAGTACTTATCGTGTCTCAATATGTGGCCTAGATATTCAAGCTTTCTTTGTTTAATTGTATTCACGATTTCTTTCTCCTTTCCGATTCTTTGGAGTACCTCTATGTTGGTGACATGTTCGGTCCAGGATATACGAAGAATGCGTCGGTACACCAACATTTCGAATGCTTCTAGTTTTTTCGTTAGCGTCTCCGTCAGCGTCCAGGCCTCCACGCCATACAGCAAGATAGGAAAAATGTAGCATTTAACTATACGTAGTTTTAGGGGAAGAGAAAAATCCTTGCTTATGAGGAGCTTTTTTATATTGCTAAATGCTGCTCTAGCTCGTTCTATTCTCGCCTTAATTTCTATGGTCTATTCCCATTTTGCATTTACGTTGGTGCCAAGGTACACATAAGATTCTACATGGTCAATTAATATGTTACTTATCCGTAATTGTCGAGCAGGTTGTTGCTTTTTGCTTATCAGCATCCACTTTGTCTTCTTGAAGTTGAGGCTCATTGAGGTATTCCTCACTAATCAATATATTGAAAAAATTTCAGTGGCCATGCATGTAACAAAAAATCTGACCCAATGCCCAATTGGGATTAAAAAATTTTAAAACTTAAAAATTTACTTAACTTTTATTTCTTTTAGGAAATAAGTGGATCTACCGGAATAAAGATCGCGCAATGATCAGTGCTACGGCTTCATTGGGTTTACTTCATTTATGGGACGTAGACGGTGGACTGACCCCCATCGACAAATATCTTTATTCAACCGACGAGAATATTAAAGCTGGAGCTCTATTGGCTCTCGGTATAGTTAACTGCAGAGTTAAAAATGAGTGTGATCCCGCTTTGGCTCTGTTGGGAGATTACGTGAATTCTGATAATGGAACCTTGCAATGTTTAGCTTTGATTGGTATAGCTTTGGCCTATGCAGGTAATAATATTATTATAACAGTCGCCGATAGTAAATTTTAACCGAAAATTTTAAAATAATAAATTTTAAAGTTTAACACAAAAATTTCAAATTTAATATCTTTTTTAAAATTTTTTTTCATTTGAAACTGCTTCAACCATAAGGGTTATTAGCAATGGTCGATTTTACAGATAACTTAAATATAAAAAAAATAACGAATACAAATAGATTTTGTTAATTAGTCCTGAGGAAACCAAAAAGAAAAGTATGGCACGATTGCGGTCATATGTTCACTTGGAATGTCTTTTATTGTTGTAGGTAATTGTTCATATTGTCTTTCATATGCGTACAACGGACACTCCACTAATAAGTGATGTACTGTTAGATCACTATCACAGGCCCAACACAAATAGTTTGGGTTACTTCTGTAGTAGGAAATCATGTGTGATCTTGATGTATCCTAACCGTAGTCTGGACATGACGTTTTTAAGATTGTGACACGAATTTCCTTTGAAATGTGTTTCTTGCAAACATAGGATGGATACTTATATGAAATTTATTTATAAGAATTTTAAGATCTTCTAAATAGGGTATGGTAACCATTTAGGTTCCATTTAATAATAGAATTAAAAATAGCTTAATTAATAAGTCCCCGGAGAGGAATCACTAGGATCATTGGTAGAAGTATTACTTAAAATTTGTTCTGTAATTTTGTTTTTAATACTAGAACTACGGGATTTAAGATATCTTGGACTTAACATAGGATGTATTTTCTTTAGAAAGTCAATCAATCCTTCGATATTCTCCGAGTAAGTTCTGGCCACACTGAGAGAATCTGAAGAACCATGCGCATTTTCAAAGAAGTCAATTCAAGTTTTTGCTGTGTTAAGTATCCATTGTTGGAGTTTTCCTTAAAGAATTGACCGGTGCATTTGGTAAGGTCTTCTACTAGGTATCTATTGTTTTCTTGTTGAGTTTTTGGTATTTTGCTTCGTGGCTTCCGTTCAGCGGAAGCTGTTTTTTCGTTATCTGTTATTGGGGGGGGGGGGATATTATTTCAGGGTTTTATTATTTCAGGGCTTTCGTTTAGGGTGCTGGTATGAGGATGTATATTGAACAAAGGTATTTTAATGAGTCTCATTGGGTATGTCACAGCTTATCGGAGTATGCTTATTTGATTGAGAGGTAATGGTTCTTCTAGACGTTTCAGCATCAGTAAGAGAGGATTGTGTAGAGGAATTTATCGACAAAGGAGCTGATTGTTGTACTGTAGTTTCAGTAACAGTAGGAGAGGATTGTGTAGAAGAAATTGTCGAAAGGGGAGGTGGTTCGTGTACTAGATATTAAAACACTAATAAAAGTAGACTCTTCTATTAAATGTCAAGTTTTCGAAACTGTTTAGTTTCTTTATCAAGATAGCTAAAATATATTAACTATAATTAGTTTTATAACACTATATTCGTAAAACGTACTTCCTAAATGTTGAAATTGGAATAGTTTCCAAGCCATGTTGTCATGTCAAATAATCAGTCAGTAGATTTAAAAAAATATAATTTAAAGTTTATTTTTAGTGTTGCAAAAGATCTAATATTGACTGATTTATTTTACAAAAATAATTTTAACATAATTATCCTCTTTTTTAATTAGATATAATTATAACATAGCCGGGCCAAAAAACTGAATTTTAAAGGTTATTTTGGATAATGTGATATTGAAAAAGGGATTATTTATTTACAAACTTTTAAAGTTAAAGGAAAGGGGGTGTTGTATTTTTAGTGTTAGGCACCATGGCTCGCAACCGTATAATACTACTGGTCTTACAGATTGTTAGTTTTAGATTTTTTGACAGTAATTTTGATTTCAGCATCTTATTCAAAGCTCCCGCAGTCCTATTCCCCTTTACTATTCTCGTTAATATTCCCTCTTCAACTTCATTGCTGCTATTCAGTATTGTGCTCAAGTACTTGAAGTTCTCAACCTTCTCCAGATTGCCCCACCCATCGATATCTAATTGGTATCAGAGTTACCTCGGTTTCTGCGTGACACTTCCATGAATTTGGTTTTGTCTGTGTTGACATTTACTCTCACCGCGCCTGTCGATGATTTTAACTGATAATGCATTATTTTAATACAGTCTATTTTGCTGTCCATAATGTTTGCTATATGTTGGCAGTTTAAAATAAAGATTTTTTTTTATTGGTACCCCATTTCGCCTATTTAAAGTACGCCGTAGCGTGTTTAAATTCAACTTTCAAAAACGCGCGTGTTTGAAAGTTACCATGGCAACATAAACAGTTTTAAATATTTATCTAACCTGACAAATGTACACAACTTCAAATAAATAAAATATGAATAAAATATTACTAACAAATATTTTAAAAGCTTTATTCAAATATTTGGGAATCCTAATCTTTTAAATGAATTTAAAAAGTACGGTTGGTATCGTTTAAAATATTTATACTTCCGTTTTTGAAGTCAGAGGAAATGCTGTTAAAATTAATACTACCGACATTCTGGGAAGCCAATTGGATTGTTCTTCCATTAATGGCACTCCCAGTAATGTTTGAAACGTTCTTCTCATTCTTCTTTTAAGCAATATACAACCAGTAATAACAATTAATCTGACGTGACAGATTGCAAATTAATTTTTGTTTTTCTTATTTCCATAATAACGAAAGGTATACTGATGTACATCACAAATTCAACCATTTTACATTATTAGCTCTCATTTCAATTTTTTGTAGAAATAATACATGATTTCAAAGTATATCAATAAAAAAAATAGCGTAAATTATTCGTGGATAACTGGTCTTTAAAACACTTCCGCGTTTTTTAGAGATAGACCTTAGAGATAGAGAAAAAAGACCTCGATATCCACTTATACTTTAATATACTATTTTATTATCATATTTAAGCCATGGGGCTCTCTCTCTTCTTAAAAGAAAGAATTCGTTAAAGCTAGATTCCTAAGGCATCTAAAGAATTGAACTACGTGGGGATTATTTCCTTATTATCGATTCCTAAGTAACTTAAGAACCAAAAAACAAGGGTTTATTTCCGAAAAGGGAAAAGAACAAAATACTTAGTATAAAACAATTTATAGGGAAAACAAACTATCGTTTTGGGACAGTTAAATGGGATAAAGTGTGAAGAAAGCAATAAATACGAGAGTTAAACACAATTCAAGAAGACATAAATTATTTCCCAGTCCAAACCTTTCCAGTTAATTGTTACACCAAACAAAATTTTAAAATACTGTGATTGGAACATAATAATTATATTAGTTAAGGTAAAAATAAAATATAATTGCCTAACTTTCCTTTTATTTAGGTACACACAGAGAAGATATTATCGAAATGTTACTCCCCTTGGTAAGTTCGATCAAGTGTGTGGAAGCCTTAAGCGCAGCTTGTCTAGCTTTAGGATTTATTTCAATAGGCAAATCAAACAACGCCATACCGTCGACTATTATTAACAGAATCATAGAAATGAATAAAGAGGATTCGTTTAAAACGTGTCACATGAGAATGGTCGGTTTGGGTTTGGCTTTGTGTTATTTCGGAGCTCGAGACGAGATAGAGGTATCCACTGAGGCTTTGAATATATTGGAAGAACCGTTCAGATCTACTTTGCAGACTATTTTATTGATGTGTGCGTATGCGGGCACAGGAGACGTACTGATTATTCAAGAGCTGTTGCATTTAGTAGGTAAATATCAACTAAACTAAAATTTAAACTTATAGATTTCTACATTTTTTAATGTTTTTATTGACTATCGGACATAAATATACGTCATAATCATTATATCAAAGATTTTATTAAAGGTCATTAAAATTTTGACACAAATGTCAATATATAAGGTATATATGTATTTCTGACTATTGATCGTCTTAAGTACGGGGCAGCCAAGTTAGAAAAGGCCCATGTTAACTTGGAAAAGGATCACTACAAGAGTAATACGGCCAATTTATGACAATGTCAGAAGACTCTGAGGATTCCTACTGAAGACAACCAATAGTCAGAAGTACGTATATACGGTTGCCTTTCATCTTAGATACATATTTTATTATAATTTATGGATTCGACCGTTACTTAATGGAAATACAAATAACAATACAAAAACTGGAACAATAAAACATTAAAAGCAACAAGTAAAATGTATAAATCACTGTTTATATTGTATTGTGACCTTTATAAAAACTTTTAGAAGCAACAAGTAAAATGTATAAATCACTATTTATATTGTATTGTGACCTTTATAAAACTTTTAAGTAGGTGTTTCTATTGTGACTGTAAAAATAATCATTCGGCAAGGTCAACAGAGGTTATATTCTAAGAGTGAACTGAGTTTCACGTAGATTCACATTGAATTATGAGTAAAATGAATTTTACTTCTTAGGTAACTTCACTATAACTTTCAATATCACCACCCTGTGTGAGAAAATCAGGGACCGAAGAAAAATCAATATGATTACTCACCTAGCTTCTCGTCAGACTTCACAAAACTTATATATTTATTTAATTTCACGTTGGGCATGCGTACGGCTTATGATTCTTCAGCGTGTTCGAACCTGCTTCGCGAACCCCTAGGGGTTTACGAACCTTTGGGTTAATACTTGTTAGCAGGTTTCTTTAATAATCATCATTTTTCTGTTTTTAGTTATCCACTTTGAATTATTCTTTGTATTCTAGGGGAGAAGGGTGACAGTCCTAAAAATGAGAATGCAGCTTCTAACGAGAAAAAAGATAAAAAAGATAAATGGAGTACTAGTAAGACGAAAGGATCGAAACCGAAAGAATGGGATTATTCGATTAGCCAGGCTATGGCTTGCCTCGCAGTAGCAGCTGTTGGCGCGGGAGAGAGCATAGGTGAGTTATAGATGTATTTACACTGTAAAAGGTAAATAAAAAACTGTTTGGAAGATATCAAACTAGAATTAACTTGAACAAGAGCAACAATTTCTTGGTATTTATTAATATTTGTTCGCTTTTTTGATATTGATAAGATATTGGCATTGATATATTATTGATGTTGATAAACGACAAAAGAAATGGTACAGCGGTTGAAATTCATAATATTTTAATTTAATTTGCAGTAGTTAATCAGCAGTGATACGAAATAGGTTCGCATTTCCATAGAAATCTTCCAGCTTTCCATAGTTTTCCAAATATCAAAGGCTGATTCATAAAGGAACTGCCAAAGAGATATATCGTGGGTCCGAGTAACAGTAATATTCAATGCTAGGACTAGGATACTTCCCGGTATAGTGGAAAGTTGTCCAGTTTTACTTATATCGAAATCTGGAAAACTTTTAAAAATTTACTTACAGCCTAATTGAATCATACAATAGGAAAATACTATATTCCTGAATATAAATTCGGCTTCAGAAGGAATCAGGCACTTTCGGGCAGATACATAGAGCACTGGGTAAAGTAAATGAAATATATGAGCAGAAAAGTTACTGCAGGACTGCTTTTTTGATTGATGTGAGTCAATCCTTTAATATGTTCTGCATTATGGCCAATTCTTTAAGCTAAAAAATACTCCCTGGACATTATCATGAAATCTTTTATAAAAGAGATATATTTTAGTGTCAAGTTTAAACAACAACAGATAAAAAATACATTGATAAAAGCAGCAATACCAAAGGACGCTGTCTTTGGTACATTTACTTTTCTTATGTACACAGTGGCCTTCCAACAGCAATCAAACAACCGCAGGTTCCTTTGCAGATGTTGAAGTGATTATAGCCAATAGTAGCAGCAAGACTACTCTAACAACAGCTCAAGGAAATACAGTAAAATATGTTAGTACAGTGCAGATTATCATTATGTCATGAAGAGAAACGTCTCTATTTGTTACACTAAATGGTCAAAGTCTGTCTCAAAGTAACAGCGTCAAGTATTTGCAACAACATTTGAACCAAAAACTAACCTAGAGAATACATATTCTTATTGGTTTCTGGGAAGACAATCAAAACTTAGTTTAAAAACGAATTCTTAGAGAAATCTTAAAGAACGAAATATAGACATCATTGAACATTTCCAGTCGAAGATATTAAGTACTATAACAATGTATCTTGATTTGTACCAAACACTACGGCGATCTTGCTGCAGTAAAAAAAGTAGTAAGTGAACACAGCAACTGATACATAGAACCATTGGAAAACTATCCTCATTATCTTGTACAAAACCTGCTACATAATGGTGGGCAGATTCAGAGGTTGAGAGTCACAAACCATTGGAACTTTCATATAGGTTTTAACTCTGTAGCATTACTGTTGCTATTAACATAGTGAGAAATCTCTATTGGAACTAATATCTGTGGTAACATTAGATGGAAATAGCACGGATGCGCAACATATATGTAGAGGTGTGAGACAAGGCTGTGTACTTTCACCATTACTATTTAATAATATACTCTGAAGAGTTATTTACACAAGCACTTAAAAACTGTACAGATGGAAACAAGATAAATGGTGAAAATAAATATAACAATAGTTAAGCCGACGATACAGTCATTATCACTGAAAATGAGAAAAACCTGCAGACGCTACTACACACAATTTGTGATACTGGGGAACAGTTTGGTTTAACAATAAACATAAAGAAAACAAAAACCATATATCAGTAAGAGGATAAAGTCATAACAAGGATCCAGATAAAAAATGAAGATATTGAACTTCTTCTTCTTCTTCTTGTATGAATATATTGCAATCCAAATCCGATATCGGATGTTAAAATGTTATTCTTTATGGTACTGAAGCTTGGACTATTAACGTTGACTTAATAAGACAGCTGGAAGCTTTTGAGTTGAGGCCTTTTAGAAGAATTTTGAAAATACCGTGGACCGATCATATTACGAACAAAATGGTGTTGCACAGAATGGGAAGAGACAGGGAACTTTTTATCATCATCAAAAAGAGAAAGACAGCATATTTGGGGTACGTACTTAAAAATGAGAAGTATGAGTTGTTGATTATGAATTGTAAAATCGAAGGAAAAAGAGTCCCTGGTAGACGACAAATATCCTGGCTGAAAAACATTCGCGACTGGACCGGGTTAAACATACCTACGCTTTTAAGAAAAGCAGAAGATAGAGACGAATTTGCAATGGTTATAGCCAACGTTCATTAGTGGAGTCGACATTAGAAGAAGAAGAAGAAGAAGCGATATTGTAATTATCGTTAATTGCCCAATTATTTCAATTAAACCAAAGATACTAGTAAAGATTAAAGATTATCACTGGTTAACAACTCTAACCTACTACATACACTTTTTTTAAATAAACCAAAAACTGCTTATAATAATTTATGCTTTATTGAATGCATGTAGTAAACGAAAAAAACACCAATGAATGTTTTCTTAACTAGGAGTTGAAATGGTTCATCGAATCTTTGGCCAATTTGCTAGATACGGAGAATCTACAGTGCGAGCGGCAGTCCCGTTGGCGATGGCTCTGTCATCAGTCTCCAATCCCCAATTAAACATCATTGACGTTCTCACGAAGTACTCGCACGACTCAGACGAAGACGTCGCTGTCAATGCCATTTTCGGATTGGGAATCATCGGTGCAGGAACAAACCATGCTCGTTTGGCTGCTACTCTAAGACAACTAGCTGCTTACCACCACAAACGTCCCTCTGAGTTATTTATGGTTCGCGTAGCTCAGGGGTTGGTGCATATGGGTAAAGGAACTTTGACTTTGGATCCTCTTCATACCGATAGAATGTTGGTGGATCCTGTAGCAATGGCAGGTAATGTTTTGGTATAACTGTTCATTAAGAAATTCATCACTCATGCATCACTCAACATTTAAGTAGTAGTGTGACCTATGTATTCAAGTTCAAGTAATAGCATCTTTTTGAAAAATAATAACTGATTACCCAATCATCCCATTATTCATTTCTTCTTCTCATGGCGCCATCTCCTTTCGAAGATGGCACATTTCCTTCGATGGTGTCCAAATGGCAATTGTGGTTTTGGAAACTGCTGCGCAAAAGATTTAGCGCGGATGAGCGGTCGAACCATCTCCTCAGGTCTTTCAGCCATGAGTTCTGGCGTCTTCCTACTGATCTTTGGCCCTGTACTTGTCTTTCCAGTATAACTTGAAGTAAGTCATATTCTTCGCCTCTTATCACATGACCCAAGTATTACATTTTCCTCTCTTTGATCATTCTTAGTAATTCTTTCTGTTTACACATTCGACGAAGTACCTCAACATTAGTAACTCTTTGCACCCATGGAATTCTCAACATTCGTCTGTATATATACATCTCAAAGGCATCTATTCTTTTTTCAATTTCAGAGCCCATTGTCCAACTTTAACAGCCATACAGTAAGATTATTTATTTAGTGATGTGTTATAAATAATTTTCATTAACTAATATTTTATTTTCAAGTATTATCAATTTAATGAGGTAATAAACTGATATCATGCTCAATTTATGGCACTAAATTGAAGATTTTCATTTTTCCGCCTGTATTATTTTCTCACGTTTACATAATAGATTTAATCGTCTGCGTTAGTGGGGTTTGCGATTCGTGTGTCGAAATGTCTTCTTCGAACAAAAATAAAAGAAGTGAGATTGAGAGTCAAAAGCAGGACTCAGTCCAAAAATGATCACCAACTAATTGTCAAAGAAATAACACTAATGTTTTAATATCTCTTTTGATTATACAATTTGTGGTGACAGGAATAAATTTAATTATGTAGAGAAAAATTTAATAAAAAAAATAGTATATTTATATTAACGCTTCTTCAACCCGGTATCCGGCAACCCCAAAAATAGATGTCAAAAAATTATTTTATTGTATACATAATCTCATATAACACTCAATAACACCCTGAGGTATAAAAAAACCGAAAGGAGACAGGGAAAGTGGTTTTTGAATCCGTTGCCTAGAAGCAACATTGCCAGTCAAGAAACACTATTTGGTACTAACTTCACTAATGAAGAACTCAAAATTTTGTTAATCATAAATAAAGAACTGTTTAACTAAAGGACATTTTATTTATTTAATAAAAAAAATTAACTTATAATAGAGTGCCTAATACTAAAAAATTATAAATATAGGCCTAATTCTAACGGTGGAATGATAAAAAACAATTTTTGTTCGGTGTAAAACAAAGCCGCATGTTACATTTTTCACACTGCACAGTTGTATAGCCAGTTTTACAAAATCTGCATCTTCCTTTAGCGGTATAAAGTGGCCAGTGACCTAACGCATCTCTTCTGGTAGCATCATCAGGTCTTACAGTAAGAGGATGGCGAATAATGTTATCTGTATTTTCCATACTTGATGGACGGCCTCGCTTTACTTCGTGCTTTCCAGTATTGGACAACGACCTAGCTAGTTCCATTCTAAACTTCTTGAGAGACATAAAATTTATATTATTGGCTTTACTGTCATTTTGATGTAATATCCATGCATTTATAATACATACATCTAAGAGCCAGGTAACTATTGGAAAATACCATCTTTTACTACGACTTGGACTTCTGTAGAGACCCAATAAAGAGTTAGCTTTATCCACTCCACCCATGTGTTTATTATATTGAGTGATTAGATTTGGGCATGGCACATTTACTTTTCTTTTATGTTCTTTAGAATACCTTTGTACGTGATTGACTGGCTCAATCCCACAACCAGTACTAGCCAGAAGTACACATTTGTTATCTGCCCATTTTACAACTATAATATTCTTTTGTTCATCACATTTATAAACATAGGAACCCCTGCCACGTTTTAGCAAAACATCAGTATCTAAGATGCAACCTGCTATTCTATTTGAGCGAACAGTGCCCAAGCTAAGGATATTATACTTCTTCTTCAAGTAATGAAATAATCTCAAACTGGAAAACCAATTGTCACAAAAAATCATTGAATTCTGGGGGCCTCTAATGTTTTACATAGTGCAATGACTGAAGCTGCACCGACACCCAAGGATTGTTCTTCTTCAGAAATCTGATTGATAGTTCCCTGTAGTTGTGAAAACCTCGAAGCTCCTTGGTAAGGAATGAAATCGGCAATATATCCTGAAACACATGCCCTTACAAAGAACTTGTAACCCCATTTATGAGGCTTATTTTGTATGTATTGTCGTAAATTGCCACCGTATGTACCTTTGTAGGCAACCATAGCCTCATCTATAGAATATTGGTTTTCGAACTGATACTTATAACAATTTGTAGAAATATGATCTAAAAGGGGACGAATTTTGAAATAGCGGTCTTTCGTTTCTGAAGTTGCTTCTAAATTATCATTGAAATGGATCATTGTTCTCAGTTATCGAATTTTTTTTAGGGACATAACATCAGCAACAAGAGGAATTCTTGAAGAAGTGGCCCAATAATCTTCTATTGCTGGCAGCTGTATTACCCCCATAAAAATCAAAATGGAGAAAAAGTCTGTTATTTCGGAAGTATTTGTGTTGACACTTACCCCAGTTTTTTGCGTACTGTATAAATTCGTCTGTTATACAATATTCTCTATTAGATTTAGTGAAAAAAACCTCGTAAAATACTCAAGCGGCAAGGCTACCTCTACTGCATTATTGTCTATAGTTGGATTTTCGAACGGAATGGTTTCTATGTCACTTTCAGACCAGTTATAATATACTGACTCCACTACTTTTTTACGTTTTCTTGGTGGTTCTTCATGCTCGTCTTCTTCATTCGTTTGATTAGCCTCCTCTTCAGTTAGCAGTTGATGATTATGAGGTTCATCATTTTCATCTGATTCTACGGTAATTTCATTTACATTGATGTTTTCAATTTCTTCATCATACTCCTCCGTGTCAGACAAATCAGAGAGATTAGGGTTGACAGGAACAATACACGACATTTTCGTCTTTTTTCCATAAAAGGATGTAGTTGATATTTCATTTAAATTTTCCATAGTGAAATCTTATACTGAAAAAAAAACTCAATTACTCAACTGATAATGTTGCTTGAGAGCCACATGATTTTTATTCAACAAAATAATATGATTACTTACCGTATACAGCAAGAAATAACAGAGAATTACACTCAAACAACCTTTGTTTATATACCAAGTAAAAATCCAACCTCAGAATACTCCTAACAAACGTTTGGTAATAAAAATTATGACACACCCACATACACGTAGATCTCTACTGGTATCCTCTGTAGTAAAATTATTTTTTTCAAATATCTCTAGTGAATGTTAGATGTCGCTACAAGTTTTATATAACTAACACGACTTGTTGCTTACAATTATCATTGTCAGATAACGGCTATATATAGTAGAAATTGATTTAGGGGCTTATAAAAACGATGTTGCCTGAGAGCATCAAAACCAGATACCGGGTTAAGGTTAGCTGAAACATGTTTAACTTCAGAAAATTCAATAATATCTTCATATAGTAATTTATCTTTAAAATTGTCTTCAGTTTGATCTCTTACTAGGTTATAGAATGTTGCTGTAGATTAGAACGGTTGAAACTTTGCAGTCACTTAAATTGGATAAAATAGTACCTAAACCTTCTCCTCCGTACATAAAAAGTTCTGTTATATATCTGGTTTTAATATGGAATTTATTATAGAAATTTTCTTTATGGTTTGTTTAGTGGACTCCTTAAAAATGGCTTCACTATAATCAGAATCTTTAAGTAACAACCCATTTCTGTTATCTCCATTTAAACTTTTTTTTAATAATCAAGATTATGAAAACATTGAATAGGGTAAACCATACAGTTATTGGACACTTTCAACTTTAAAAATTCGTAATTCACATCGTTCTCTGCAGATTGAATTGAAATTTATACAAAACGTAGTCTAAACAATTTATTACAATATGCCTAAAAAGATTTAAAGAAGGTGTTAGATCTTTTTTGTCAATATATATTTATTGAAAATAGTTACAAAAAAATTATAGTTATGGACAGTTTATTTAGTTAGAGGACACTCAAAATTAGTTATTGGACAACTGCTTCAACACAATAAAAAACTAGAAACAAATGAAAATTACAAAAAAAAACCAAAGATTTTTGTGCGGTATGGGGTACCTATATACAGTTGACACAATTAAATTTTATAATTGCTTCTATGCTTCTTTGTATTGAGTGAAAAGTTCGTCAATATCTTCATCCTCACTGTCTTGGTTACTGTTATTAGCATCTGAATCACTATCCTGCAGATTGAAGCAGTTGTGACATAAATAGGTCACCATCGTTAGGTATATGCTGTCTATGCTTAACAAGAATACAAAATTCGTGATATTAAAGACTACAGTCATCGCACTTTAATTTATTCGATTTAATATCATGTGAACAAATAGAACATTTGATTTTTTTTTGAATTCTTTTTGTTGCTACACTGGTTTTTGATTCATTTTTCTTCCCTTTTCCATTCTTGTTTTTGTTTTCCCTAATATTCTTTTAACTCCTCCTTTTTTCGTAACATTTTTGATATCGTGCAGATGTAATAGCAAAAGGAAGTCGTTCCGTGTAACGTTTATTTTTTCTTTCCGGTATAGTAGGAGAAGCTTAATATTATTTTCAATTAGGTGGGGATAAAAAACATTCGCAATTACTGATAGAATGTCTCTGCCGTCATCCAACCATTATCGCTTCTACCCACACCCCATTTAGGATTAATGCATTTAGCAACTTTTTCTGGAATACGTTGATAGGGATAAATAACCATAGGCAAGCAAATTTTACCGTCTGCTGAAAACGTAAACATCACAGTGACGTTTTCTTTTGAACAGCTTTTTACAACATTGTAAACATTTTTTGAACCCTTCATAGTAAATACTTTTCCAGTAAATAGACATATTTGAAATCCTGACTCATCTCCATTAAAAAATCCTGATGGATCAGGTAGAACTTCTTGTAGATGTGCTTCTTTAACATAGTTTTCAATATTTTTAAACCAGTTTTTGATGCCTCGTTCAGATACACAAGCGCGAGCTGTCGTCACACCTTCCCTTGTCCTTTTAGAAACCTGTGGATGTCGCTTCAAAAATCCCTAAAAAAAATTTAACGATCAAACAGATTAAAAAACATTTTTTTGGTGATTTCCTATTAACCATCCATCTCCAGGCCGATTATCTTTAAAGTTATTGGGGCGCGGATTTTCGGTTAAAAATTTTTGCACGCTGCTTTTTAAATCGTTAGTCTTTTTGGGGAAACCTTTTGAAGCGGTTTCTTGTATCCATCTGGAATATTAAATGTAAAATCAAATAAATTTAATGAACGTACCTAACCAGAGAATTCTCTTCCTCGCAAGTTAAAATAGAAGATGGTCCAAGTGTGTGTTTATGTTTCGGATGTTTTAATTTAAATTCTATAGTGGACTTCGGAATTCCACATTTTTTTTTCAGCTGTTCTATATAATTCAGTGCCATTTTGGACATCCAGCTTCTATAAGTTTAATCTTATCGTATTTTCTAAGTTTACGCATTTTACTACAGTCCTAAAAAATCAATTTAATAATTGGATTACTAAATTACAAATCGATTACTAAATTAATTTTACTGCTATCTCCAGTTAATTATACGTAAACCCGTTAAAAATTGTAGAAATATGTGGTAAGTATAGTTATCTATTGATTGGACAGGTGTCCCATAATATAATTCAGCAAGTTTTCTAGTTTGGTTATTGGACAGGCGTAATTGAATACGAATTAAAATCCCTATTACTGTACGCGATCTACCTTAGAAACTATAAGTGCCTTTACACCCTTTTAAATAAAAATACAATCTTACCTTAAAAATAACACGTAGTTTTGAAAAAAAAGTCAGAGCACCGCCAAAATCACAGAACCCGTTAAAGGCAGAACATAGACATAAGAATGTACGTAATATAGAAACGAGTAGTGCCACCTAGTGAACTACACTCTTGTTAGCACTTGTTAAAATCTTATAATCGTAAGTTAACACTGTAATGTCCAATAACTGTCTCGTGTCCAATCACTATCGTTTTTCTTTACCTAAACTAAATGAAGAAAAAGAGCTCGAATACCTACCTTTTAAATCTTGTATTAACAACTATTTACAATAATATTGTCATAAACATTAACCATCAAATTCTTCGATGTTATTAAATCTTCTTATACCGGATCCATGTTCTCACCCACAATAAACAACAATATTTAAGTTATTAATAACAGACTACAATAAACACAATTTATATTCCAGATAACTTCTTATTCGGTTCTTTATTTGGCAAATAAATATTTTATATTTTATCTGTCATATAAGTTTATTCATGTCAGTTTGTAGTTAGGATTTCTTTCCCAGGTCGCTCTAGTTACCATACCGGAAAAATAAGAAATAGAAAGAAATAAGAATTTGAAACACCAGGAAGAAAACACCTAAATACTTTTTTTTTACTTTTATAGGTCTTTTGTCTGTGATGATAGCTTTGCTCGATCCCCAGAGCCTGGTATCCCGTTCCTCCTACTACATATATTTCCTGTCGGCTGCCATTCAACCGAGATGGCTGTTAACGCTGGACGAAGATCTGAGAACAGTGCCAGTGAGTGTCCGTGTTGGTCAAGCTGTGGATGTGGTAGGAAAAGCTGGCACTCCCAAAACTATAGCTGGTATACACACTCACACCACGCCAGTATTGTTGGCTACTGCCGAACGGGCGGAGTTGGCAACTGAGGACTATCAAATTGTTGCTCCAACGTTGGACGGTATTTGCGTTTTGAGAAAAATTGAAAAAGCTTGACCTGAATTATACATGAGTTGAAATTCACACAAAATTATTAAACCGCTATAATAATTAATGCTATATTTCATTTTCTTTTTTATTAAATTTAAAAGAACAAAGCGATCTTTATTGATTGAGTACATCATTATTAAATAACGAAGGTGTTTTTAAACTTGAAAATCATTTCTACTGGGTATCAGTCATTCTGAATTTTCTGTTACAATTTCTGATTCGTTTTCCACATTTCTAATAGTCTCTAGTTGAGTGTATAGCATTGTATATATACATTTTAGTCGGTTTTCTTTCTTGCTATAGAAAAGTTTCTCAGTTGGAAATGTAGCTTTCGGACTTGATTTTAAAGATGGATCTTACTAATCATTCCTATTACTTATCACTAGAAAAAATTAACATTCATTTAAACAATTTTAAACTTCTAAACTTTTAATCTAAAATTTTTAATCAACAAAAAGGGAAATGGAATAAATAGAGTAGTTATTATGAGTGGTGCGATAATTTTGAAGAAGAGTAACTCCGTTCTGTTCCATAAATAGTTATTTTATATGTATTATTAGCGATAATATTTTTCTATATACTTCTGAAGACTGTTTTAATAAAATTTATAGTTTCTGTTTCCTATTACTTCATTTGTTTTTTAAATTTCTATATTGTAACACCAAGGATATCGTCATGTTGAAGTAGCAAAAAAACCATAAATATAAAAAAGAAAGTCATATCTAATTAAAAAAATTATCAGCCCCAAAAACAGATTGCCCTCTGTTATTTTCTGGGTGAAGATAAACGCTTGAGCCTATTTTAGCTTAATGTAGTTAAAATATCTATTTTGATTATCCAATATAAAAATTACTCACAAGAACTCAATAAGTCGGGGGTTTCGTTCATGGATGACGTCATTGATAACAAATACATGTCATTTATTTTTAGTATTGCGAAAGGGAGATAGAGAGAGAACGCGTGAAATAAATCACTGTCAAGAGGTAACTTTATTTGATATTGAGAGAGCAGGAGAGAGAGAGAGAGAGAGAGATCAATAAATTACTGTCAGATCATTCCTTATGCAAATCTGTATAGTTACAAATTTTTGTAGAATGGTAAAGAGTAATAGACTAGTTATTACCTTCATTTGGTAGGCAAATAGCCCCAGATTAGAAGGTTAAACCATCGAAATAGAAACCATTATTTATTATTTGAAATTACTAGTCGAAAATATGACCTTTATTCATTTTTTTTTGAACCTATTCTCTATCCTTCAATTGGTGGATATAGGTCTCCCCCAGTTCTCTCCATCTTTCCCTATCTTGAGCTGTTCTCTGCCATGTGGGACCTCCTTGTTTCCTGATGTCATCTTTCCACCTCATCTGTGGTCTGCCTCTTGATCTCTTTGCATTGTATGGACGCCACTTTCCGATGGCATTGTTCTATCGTCCGTCTTGGAGACGTTCATTGTGTCCAGCCCATTTGCATTTCAGTTTTGCTGCTTGTTCTATCGCGTCTACTGTCTTTGTTCTGGTTCTGATCCACTGGTTACGTTTTCTATCTCTAATACACCCAACATTTGTCTCTCCATCGCTCTTTGTGCCTTCCTTATCCTATCCAAATTGGCCTGTGTAAATGTCCATGTCTGTGCTCCGTAGGTGAGCACCGGTATGATACAGGAGTTATATACCTTGCTTCGTAAGTATAGAGGGATTGTTTGATTTTTTAGAACGTAAGAAAGTTTGCCGAACGCTGCCCATCCCATTCTTACTCGTCTCGATATTTCGGCTGTTTGATTTTCTCTATTAGCTCTGATTGCTTGTCCTAGATAGATATACTCATTTACCTGTTCTATTTTTTCTGTTTTTATTTTTATTGCCTCTTGGTCTTCCGTGTTTGTAATTACTTTTGTTTTGTTGAAGTTAATTTTTAGGCCTTTTTGCAGTGATTTTTCATGAAGTTCATTCAGCATTAATTCCGGTTCTTGTCGTTCCGAGGAGATCAGGAGTATATCATCCGCATATCTAAGGTGATTTAGGTATTTTCCGTTAATACATATTCCTCTGTTTTCCCAATCTGTTGATTTTATTATGTCTTCGAGGTCAAGGTAAACAGTTTAGGTGAAATTATATCGCCTTGTCGGACTCCTCGTTTAACTTTTATATTATCCGTTATTAATTTGTCGTCCAGAATTACGGTCATGGTTGCGTTTTGGTAAATATCATGTATCAATTGTCGGTATCTTAAATCTATTCTACTATTGACCAGAGCTTCTTCAACCGCCCAGTGTTCAATGCTGTCGAAAGCCTTTTCATAATCTACGAATGCTAAGTACAGCGGAAGGTTGTATTCATTGGTTTTCTCAATTAAGATTTTAAGCGTATGTAGATGGTCGATTGTGCCGTATCCTTTTCTGAATCCGGCCTGTTCCACTGGATCAAGTTTATAGGTTAGTCGGTTGTTTATTATTCTTGTATATTTATAACAAATCACAATAGGGATGAGTTTTTAAAGGCCATTTGCACTTCTTCATAGATTTCGTCTTCTTTTTATATAGACATGACTCTGTCTGTTTTTCAATGTGCCAATGAGTAAGTTGTCATTCCATCGTTTTCGTGGTCTTCCTATTGGGGAACCGTCCCTTGCCATATTTACTACTCTATTTGTTGTCATTCGGCTTATATGATGGTTCCATTCTACTCTTCTATTTCTTACCCAGTTCTTGATGTTCTCCACCTTGCGTCTACATCGTATATCTGTACTTTTAGCTCTATCCCATAGTGTCTTACCATCAATTTTTTAAGTGTTTTCATCTCTGCTGTTTCTAACATCCTTTTTATCCTCTCTATATCATGTCTTGTTTCTGCCGTGTAATGACTAAAATTTTCCCACTTTTGTATTCTTACGCCGTCCTAGGCGTATGTTACCATGTTGCATTTTTGTTGCCTGTCTCATTTTTTCTCTTGACATATAGTTCGGCGCATGTTAGCTTCTTTGGTTACTATCTTGTAATTCTCGTCTTTTGTGCTCAAATATTTTTGTTTTCTTTTTATTTGTCGTACAAATACGAGAGTTTTCTCTACTTTGTTTTTTTATTTAGTATCCTAGGGCTTCTGTTGTTGCCTCTTGAAGGTTTATCTATATTTGGTGATAATGTTTTTTATTATTAGAGAATTTGATCAACAAGTCAAATCATCCCCATAAATAAAAGAGAGAATCATAAAAACCCTAACTAATCAAGTTAGCCGAATATGCAAAACTAAGTTATAAAACTTCATCTTGACCACAAACTTTGAGATAGAACGGTCATGCTCCAAGAGACCAATAGAAAAATAGTCTGCTGAACCAAAAAGTAACGCTTTCTTATCGTGTATTAAAAATGTTACAGCTCGAATTGGCAAAATATTAGCAACACGAAGAAAGTCAAACGAACAACAAAACTTGTTGTAAATACTAGTTTGACGATCAAGAGGAACTGCCCTCTTGGTCACTTCGAAAATACATAAGTACTTAATAGAACATCACATTAGAATCAATAGATGATCAGGAAGGCTATCGAAATTCAAGAATACCTGATTCATTTTATTAGTACACAAGAGGGGTGCATCTAAAAAGGACGGATGTTGCACTTAACACTACCAAAATTCTCCCTAAATTCACCGAACATTTCAACACCGATTCGCATAAAACGAAGGTTCCGAGAGACACACGACGGCTACATATAGCACAGAAACTAGTACCATGTACCTTTACACCACACCTACACTCCTGGATATCATATTCAAGTTGATGATATCTAATTCTTTGATTTTCCATTTCCTAGGCTACATTCATATATATTATAACTAATTTAGTTTTATTCTTACGTTTTTTCTATCATTGTCATTTCCATTCTATCAATATATTAGTTATTGTTTTCGTGAAAATTATTATTCAGTACTTAAAGTTTCCTTATCTTTCTGTCCTTTCTATCCTTAAAGTGTAAAAAAATGATAACATGGGAGCATCATATCAAAACTTTTCTGGTTTCATTCCTCAACGCATTTTTTTTTAATTAAAAAACATTACAGTTTTTTTCAGCTCTCGATCTGTAAGATATTTAAGAAAAGCTGACATACAATAAACAACAAAGATTCCGAATAATTCCATAATATACTGAGAAAAAAAAATTGCTTTCCTAAATTGTGTATATTTGTTATTATCTTGTTGTGAATTGTTTGGTTTTTACAACACAAGTAGGGAGCCAGACTGTGGAACTGATTAATTATGTAAACTTGGATTAAATAATTCTTCGTCGAATCAATTTTAAGTCGAAGTGGTAATTCGTCTTTAACGAACTTTATCGTTCCGAAGAGTGGGTTATATTTAAGCCTTTTTTCTATACATTTACGAAGATATTGCATAATAATAAAATAATGAAGCTAAAAGATTTATTGCCCGTTTATGAGTTCCGAAAACAAATGAACATACTTAACACAATTCTTGGTATAATTGTTTTTCAAAAGAATTTGCAAGCGGTTGAATCTAAGAAAAAAACATTTTATGACCAGTTTGTGGTCTTAAAAAACAAAACCCTTTTGACTAACTTTTATATTAAAACGGGGAGAATTGACGGTAATATAAACAGAAGCTTGATTTTTCGTTATTAATTGTAACCGACAGAGTAAAAGATTATTGACGATATGTTAAGGCTTTAACACATCAAACACATTATTGAGATGATACAATTCAGAAGGATGCTAGGAAAAACAAATAGGATATAATGAAATATAATCAAGAAAATACAGGAAAAATTAAAGACCAATATAATAAATAAAAAGAGCGTATTACACAGAAAATGTTTCTGACACTGTAAGTCACGAAACATGAAAAGGTGTATAAAAGAATATACCTAAAATTACGTCAGCCGCGATCACATTCTCAATAAGAAAAAATACTCATCCCAGGGACTTGAATCTTAAATATTTTAGGAAACATATTATCTATGCAGATTTTTTGGCGTATCTAATTATCGATAGCAGTTCTGATTTTCACGTGATTCTGTGAAGTTGTCTAACTAGAACAATTAAGTCCAAAACCGAGAAGAATTGAGTAGAAAACTTGGAAAGTCGAAACGCTTTATAGCAGTAGTAGCTGATGATACTAACTATTATTGTTTAGTATAGCTTTATTCACGGCTTTATATTTAATCGAAAACGTTTCGTTGTTTTATGATGTTAAAAGGGTATAAAATAAAATTAACACTTAACTTAAATTTTAATAAATCATTAAATAAAACAAAAACAAAAAGGTCATAAATAAGCTTCCAAACTAAATACAATAATACTTTTTAGTGACATGTGACTTTACAAGCCAGCAATTTCTTAATTAACAAATTAGTCTTAAGATTACTTTTATTCAAAGTAATTAGAGGTACTACAATTTAGATTTCACACGACACATTTCACTAAAATCACATTTCGTCAAACTTTGGAAATAATGGTCCCTGACCGTCTTTAAACTGCATAGATCTGTGTTTGGGCAAGCTGGTAGTCTCACAATGTTTTCCTGGTGCATTGTGAGGATTTTGGTATCTCTGCCACACCTGAAAAAATAAATTGATCAGACACATGTCTATCAAGATATTACATTTTCTAATTTGCATCTACTATGCAAAAAAGAGACAATAAAAATGATTTAAGGACTTATGAGCAGTAATTAGTAGCTCAATCTGAATATTATACAATATAATCATGCTAAAATCTTTAATATATTACATTGGTTAACACATATTTTGGCGATAGACCTTTTAAACTATCGTTAAATAATTTTGGGCCACTGAATCCAAAAATACCATAGTATTTTATGTATCAGCATCATTTTCAAAAGATGTGAGTACATATTTGTGTTTAGTTTATCTTATTCCTGCATATAAATGTTTAGATTGTGTCGGGCATAATATTTCAGACTTCTTTTGGAACTGTCTATTACGGAAATGGGTAAATATTATTGTCAGAAAAAGAAGATTTGTCATTAACAACAAGAGAAATCATAAGATTTCTTACCTGGCGAAACTGAATTCAAATCTTTACCACTGTGCGTTCTACACTTGCAAATCAAACAGATTGATGAATTGGTAGGCAAGGGAATCTAAAATATGCTTTCCACAAGCCGTTCATCATGGTTAAAATTCGTAGCGAATTCAGTTTCTGGTACTCCAGAGTAAATTAATAAAACATATTGACGGTATTAGATTTTAAAATGGATACAGGGCGGCGGCAATCCGCTTATACGTATTTCCACCCCTTTAGGCCTCATCAGAGCGACATGTGCCACTGCTCTGTCTTTAAATTTTGAAACACCCCAAAAAGTCCTTTGACAGGTTTAAATTCTATTAGTCATGTAATTTTTTCTGGTTAAACTTTTTGTGCGTATTGAGTCTTCTTTTTGACTTGAAGTCACTATAGTCTATTTGATCGACATAGCCTTGTTCATCACAGGATATTCTAACATCATCATCTGGTAAGAGATGTAGATTAATCTTTAGAATCTAAAATATCTTCTTGCTGAATTCAAATTTGGATGTCTACCTATGCCAATACCGTTTACATTCATTAGATAAAAGTAGCAGTCGTCACAATGGGTTTTTGGTTTCCCCATAGCATTGGAATCACAAATTCTAAACATTTTTTTGTCTTCTGTTCACGTATGAAGTACGCGCTCAGCACATGTTCTACGCCAAACATGCTACAACCTGCCGCGTCCAAGTTTTACCTTGATATTCTAGAGAAACACCAAAATAAGGAAATGCATGCCTTTTTCACAAACTAATTAGTTTCTTATTCTCTTTTAATACGTGTTATAGTGTATTTTTATGTATGAGAGAGTAATAAAACAATAAATTATGTATGCAAATCCCTAAACTGTTGATACGGGTGACTCAATGAAAAATAGATATTTGTCAACAAGTTTACAGAAGTATACAGGAAAACAATTTTAAATTGAGTATGACCACCAGGTATAAAGGTTGGAGCAGAATAGAATACAATAGTTGTGAGGGTTACTAAACCCTAAATAAGGTTGCCAGTGTCGGAGTGATGGAGGTTAACAGGTACTAATGAATTTGCAAGAAATGTAAGATGTTTATTTTATTGGTTATATATAACCAATAAAAGTTTAATAAGTACCTACCTATTTGCAAAATAAAGTTTAATTCTTTAGATAAAATAAAACGTTTTATTTTATCTGAAATGAGTGCATTCCACGAAGTAAGGGTTTCAACAATCAAACATTTAATTCCAGGAATCTAAGACAGTAATTGACTAGATAATTACCTTCTAAACTTATTCCACAGAAAATGTGATAGTGGGTTTTTCCATTTTGTAGGAAGGTCCAAGTGGCGTATTCAAAATTCTTAACAGTTCACTAAAAGTAGGTACTTCAGTTGCAAGGTGCAGTTTATTGTGTATACTAGTGTTATGGAAAATTTGAAAGTGCCGTGTAAACGCCGAAAAATTGGTCCTTTAACAGTTAATGAAAAACATTAATATTTAATTGTTTTAAATCATTTACAGACACACGTTTATGTGAAAGTGTTGATGAGACCGTTGAGTTAGTTAGCAGTACACTTGGTGTTGGGAAATCTACGATTTACAGAGTTATTAAAGAAGAGAAATGTGGTAGTTTTCAAATGCCACGTAATGCTCCAGGGAAACCAAAATTTCAAATAGAATATCATTTTAAAGAAGGACTTCGACGGAAAGTGCATGAATTCTTCTTTAGACAAGAATTTCCAACATTGGAAAGGATTACCCAGAAATGAGTCGAAGTACGTTATGGAAACTTTTAAAAGAAATAGGCTTCCGCTGGAAAAAGAATCCCAGAAAGTCTATTTTATTAGAAAGAAGCGATATTGTCATATAGAGAAGACATTTTCTAAGAACCATAAAGGAAATGAGAAACCAAAAAAGAAAAATATTTTATCTTGATGAAACATGGATCAACGAGGGTCATACACCAAATAAATTTTGGCAGGATGAAACTGTTACAAGTCAAAGGCACGCTTTTGTAAATAACTTATCTACTGGTTTAAACCCACCATCAGGAAAGGGACGCAGGCTGATAATAGTACACATTAACAGTTCAGACGGTTTTGTTGAAGGTGGTTTATTAACTTTTGAATCAACTCGTACCGGTGACTACCATGAAGACATGAACGCTGATGTCTTTCAAGAATGGTTCGAACAAATGATAGATCTTCTTCCTAAGAACTGTGTAATAGTAATGGATAATGCAAGTTATCACTCCGGACTTATAGAAGGACTACCCACAACTAAGTGGTTAAAAAAAGACTTGCAGAATTGGCTGAGTTCAAAAAATATTACGTACCATCCCGGATCTATAAGAAAGGAACTTTATTCGTTGCGTGTCCTTCATAAAGAAAAATTTAAAAAATACGAAATTGATGAAATTGCCAAAAATCGTGGAATGACAGTACTTAGATCCCCACCATATCATTGTGAATTAAACCCGATAGAACTGGTATGGGCACAGATAAAGAGTGAAGTTTCAAGAAAAAATACCACTTTTAAAATTCATGATGTTAAACAGTTGTTTTTGGAGGCCGTAAATAATGTAAAACCTGAAAACTGGGAAAAGGCAGTAAATCACACTATTAAAGAAGAGGAAAAAATGTGGAAGCTGGACAATATTACTGATAAAATGATCGAGCCAGTTATTATAAATCTTGGTTCTGAAAGTTCATCTTCTGAATCTGATTTGGATTTGTAACAAGTAGCTGTAAGTTTTATATTAATATTTTTATTCATCTATTTAACATACCTTAGACGGTTTTAAAAACTCTTTTTCTCTTTTGTAATTTTTAAAAATGAAAAAAAATGTGAATTTTTTAAAACCCTTTTTAATGTAGGCCAGTCAGTTCTAATATAGTGTGTGATAAAAGAGGTCACTTTTGTTTACATACACATAACACTTTATAACACTGAAATAATTCATTTATTTTTTACAATTATTCAAAGTAATTTTTAAATTAATCTTGAGCACGCCCATGGAGTGGTCGAAGGTACCAGTTAAAATTATGCTAATTACTCTTTCGTTCATAAAAATAAACTTTAGCAACATATACAGCAAAACTTTTTTGGCTGATTAACACAATTACATCTTGTTTGATGTAATTGTATGTTTGAAGCGCAAATATCTTTATACAGACATTTATTGGGGAATAAATAATTCAATACCAATTATACCGATATGATATGGGTTCAATTCTCACTACAAAATGAAAAAGTATTGCCAGGTCGTCGCTTCGAAGGTAACAAACCATGAAGTTGTAATCTGTCAAGTACAGTTCCTTTATCTTAGTCGATAGGAGTTGATGTTGAACTGTGGGTCCTGTATATCTATATACACTTAATGATAGACAACACATAATATTTATATGAATTGTCTAAGCTTAAGTTTGGATTACACATTAAGAAGAATTTAATGCTAGGCGTATTAATTCTTGGCAACAGAGACAAATTTAAGATGAATATGATAGTTTCTTGCCTAGAAGTAAATGGAAAGTAAGAAATGCAGTAATATGGATGAACAGCATACGCCATTTTCTGCCATACAATAATTTTTTTGTTTGGTCGGGTTGCTATTGAAGGATTACAAGTATAATTACAATGCATAAACAACAAAAGTATTTTACATACTCAAAAGCTACGAAGGCTAAATTGGTTCCAAAAGGATCTAGAAGTCCAGTTTTCCACTTCCTATCACGTGCGGTATCATAATTTTTAGCCGTTAGGTGCTCCTCATCTTTGTACAATCCTACATGAGCTATCATCTTCAGCAAAGTTCCAGAGTGGGTGAAGTACACGTTGACTCTTGGGAATCGAGTTTTTCTGAAACAAAAGGAAGAAGAAAATAGAGAATAAAGAAGAAAAATTTACTAGAAATATGAAATTTTGGAACAGATCGGACGATACCGCGAATTTAGTTGAATAAATGATTAATTCCTTTGTCCATAATTAAGTCGAATGATTAGGTCCGTGTCAGACACTCAGACGGTCAAATAGTTGAACAAACTGACGTAATGACGTCATAAGTACAGCCTGTACAAATTTTAAAAATCTACACGATCATTCAAATTTGATCAAATTGACTTTTTTGCTTATTTATTACTTGATTGTGCTATATTTTCGATTCAAATTTTTCTTACCCACAATGAAAATAAAAAATGTTGAAAGGTTTTTTTATAATAATGAGGATGCTTTACATTATATAAACATCTTTCTCGATATAAATCAATTATGTAGAAACTTGTTCCCGAAACTTTTATTTTTATTTTATAACAAAATAGGAAGACAAATAAACTATACAAAGTCAACCAATGAAAAGAAGGAAAATGTCATCACAATATGTCTAACTACTAATTGTCATTTGTTTTTAGATAGTTTTCGACCACTAAAATTTGATCAAATTCAGGATATGACGTCATATACTGTCAATTTTTTGGTTTGGTAAAACTAATTTAATAAAATATTTGAACTTGTGACACACACTTTACGCTAAAATATAAATTGATTTTTTAACTTTACTATTAATGTATATTAACTAAATTTTAAACCAAAAGCTCGACAAAAAGAAACTTAATGAACTTACGTTTGAAGGAAATTGGACATGTCCCTAAATGCAGGGCAAGCTTGTTTATACGATAGCTCATGTCCATAGCCATCTTGCCAGTAATACTTCAAATCTTTAAGGTATTCCAGTACCTGAAATGAAAAAAGATAAGTTATTTTTTTTAATATTAATGTAATAGTACAAGTTTTTTTATGTTAAAATATAATAAAAAATTAATAATGGTGTCTACAAAAAATGAAAAGTAAGTATTTTTAAGGTCTAGCCCATATGTGGCATTGCCTTCAATTAAACTTAATGTTTTATAATAAAAATAAGTATCATATTTATGTAATGTAATCAGAAAGACTTTGTTTTACACAGCTGTTTAAAGTAATCGCGTTATGTGTTTTTGATAAAATGAGCAAACATTGAGCAAACTCAATGTAGAATCACTGCGGAACGACTCTACAAGAGAAATGTACTAAAGAAGGTTAGCACAGTATATACAGCTTAAACAAATAGACGACATCGAAAATATAAACGCAATCTGGGGGAAAATTAAAAACAACATTGACAACGCAATGTCATACTAAACAAAAGAAACAACAACAATACACCATGGTTCAGAAAGAAATAAAAGAGAAATGTAAAGAGAAATGAGAGGCCTACACATTACATTCGAGTAAAATTCACATTTTTTTACAAACAAATTTGCCGGTTACTTCAGATTACCCACTCCGCGTCTTGTCTCGTTGAAATCTCAAAAACAACTTGATTAACTGCACTTAAAATCCACACTGCTACTATACTGCACATTTTCCCACCACAAAAGACGAAAAAATACTACGAATTTAAAGAAAAACTCGGACTAACACCGAAACCAACTGTTTTTTACAGCGGCCTCACTGAGGGTCATAATCTTTAAAAATCATTCGCTCAACTCGGTAAACAATGTGTAAACCAATATATTCCTGTTAATTTGATGCGCCAAATATCCTAAAGCGACTCTCGAACAAAGAAATACCGAAGAAATACGCATCTATGTTATACAAACAAACTTTAAAATGTGTTTATTATAAATCTCGACGACGCAAAAAGGATTGAAATAATATTTCGGTGTTTTAACTTGTACGATAGGAAATAGAAATACTTTGAAAATATTCTTTGGTGTTTTAATACATACAAGGTGATTTGAAATGCTACATAACAACAATTTGACTGGATTACTTAATCGATTTGTTACGATGAATGTAATATAAATTTATCATTTTACATCTCAATTAAAAAAAAAATAGTCAGAAAATATTTTGAATACGTAAATAAATATTTAAAGATTTTGCATGAACGCAGTTCCTTGACAAAATCCGGTTATTTCAGATACGTAAAACATAAAATTTACTAAACCTAAAACTTTTCACCGTATATGTGTTACCTTTAAATTTTCTTGCGTAAACAGGGCACACCAAGGTGATTTTCTCTTTTTGTTCCATGCTGTTTCAAATGCACACATTTGGTACATCAACAAAACGTCATCTGAAACAAATAATCAAATATTATTTCAAATATCAAACATTTAACGTGGGGCGCCAATGTGTAACCTTCGATGGACGCCAATGAGTTACAATATAACTACCTCTGAAAGTTGTGAGTTATATTATTACCCATTGGCGTCCATCCTTTCTGATGGGTCGTTCAAAGGTTACAACCTCAGAGTAAAAGATTAAAAATGATGGAACATTAGAATCTCAAATTTTAAAGAAATTGGAATATGCAGGCATCTGATTCTTTAGATTAAGAATATGTAATTAATGTAGGTAAAGTGCGTCATCAAACAATGAACAGTTTTAAAGTGTATACAAACTTGTGCAAACAAACAGGACAATTAAAGGTTGTTTTTGCTTCCCTAATATTCGGCTACCAAGAACTATTTGTATATTTCATTTAGATTTAGAAAGTAAGGATTTGTATAATATAAAAATGAACTTGTGTAAAATGTAAATTGTGTAAAAATGAAAGCTATCTATTCAATTCAAAAAACAATGAACGGTCGTTAGAGTTTTGTTGACAAAGGAATTTGATAGTGGATTCTAATAAAAGACAGTATGGTGAGTCAAGGAAAGTTTGACGAGAGAAAGAGAGGAGCTGGTAAGATATTTTTGTTTTGAGTGATTTGATTGGTTCGAGAGAGAATTGGAGAAGTAAGAGATGGTAAGAGGAAAGGGAAGTTAGTTTGTTTTTTTTTGGGCAAAGGAAAAAGTAGTCTAAGATAGAACTGCAAGAGAAAAGGTTGTTTCCTGTGAAAAGAAAAAAAGGTGTAGACGTTGCGAGATAAAGTTGTGAATCGTGAAAGAAAGTTTGTGTTTGTGGCAGCAGAAAGCTGTGACAGTGTAAGAAGAGATCTTCAAATCCACAATTTGTAAGTCTTTCTTTTAATGTAAGAATTATTTGAGGCGAGGCCGCATATGTTTTGGTAGATCTAGATCAGGAGGTGTGGAAAAACAGCATAAGGAGAATCAACATAAAGCTTAGTTTGTTTTATTGAAAACAAAAGATAGGCCCAGACATTCGGAGCAAAGTTTTGTTTTGGATATATAATTGAATAGAGACAGTTTTTTTATACAAATTTATAGGAGCGAAGAGAAAATTAGGATCATATGATTTGTTGTTATTTATACTACATACTTTATACATATGATATGATCTTGTTTGTTTTGTAAATCTATTTTTTATATAGCTGGTATATTTGAATTTCCATAATATAATATATTGATAAAAGGTACATATGGTATTGTTTGTGTATATTTGATTTCTTTTGTGTCCTCATACTTGCAAATACAACATTGATACTGAGCCACGGAAATAAGTTCTGAGATAAACAAAGTTATGGGTAAGTTCATCAATTTAGATATTGTATTTTAAAATTAAATTTTCCTTACCATAACAATATATAAGGGACCTATGAGGTTTATTATTCTTAGCAAAATGTTCTTACCTTTATTTACCTCGTTATCTTCGAGTGCCAAATTCTTATTAACCTCTTTCACCAACTTCGCCATTTCTGGGCCATTTTCAAATATGGTTACCTCTCTCAAGGCAGCAGGATTCTTTTTGACTTCAACATTCCATCTGTCACACAATTTATAAAACTGAAATAAAACCAAGATTTAATTGGTATATAAGAAACTAAACAAAACTAATTACCCTCAAAATTGGATCCTTCCTCAAAGGTGCTGGGAACCACACATCCTTGGCCGTAGCTTTTCCAAATAAGCCTGCTGCGAAAAAATAGGCACTTCTCAGTGTCCTTTGTGAATGAGTGAACTTAAACTAAAAACAAAATTCTATAATTAGTACCCTTATTTTTTTCTGCAATTATTATATTACAGTACTTAAATTTTTCAATATGTCACATTTCTACTCTTTCTCTTTCGAGAGAGTCATAGTGGAGGGGCTGTTCATGCTCGGTTATTGTTGATAAGTTAAGGAAAGTTAGAGAAACAGGAGTCAAATGCACAAATTGTAATGAATGTAATCTAGAAAACTATAAAGGATGTGTCGTCTAAAAAATGTACCACAAACTAAGAGTAACCACTGCAGTAGTGCAGCTAAGAGTAACATGTGCTCAAACAACACTGAATCAGCGAAACTAAAACAGATCTACTAATAATAATAATACAAACATTACTAATGTTAACCACGCGCAAAACAAAGCACTCAGCTCAGTTACTCAAAATTGCTTTATATAATGCCAACGGACTGTGTTCAAATCAAATATTTTCTAAAAACAAATACAATTGACACAGCGTTAATTCCTTAGACCCATTTACCATAGCTTAGTCATATAAAAATACTAGGATATTGTGCCTATCTCACGAATCATCCAAATTTAACTGGCCACGGCGACGGTGATAAAAAAATATACACTACCTAGTGAATAACTACAGACACGAACACTTACAAGCTACCACAATAGCACTCCAAGAAAAGACGCACCAATTCCAAATGTCTGCAATATACTTTTGACCAAAACACTATAACAAAAGGGAAAACTACAAACAGTTTTAAAACTTTAAAACGCTAGGTAATACGATCATCGCAGGAGGAGATTCACTAATTATTAAACAACGAATCGTAAACAAAACGCAAATTAAGAAAAATATGTCCAAACAGTCAGGATAAAAAAATTCATCAAAACTTGCAACGAACTAAAGAAAGTGCTACTCAACTTACACAATCAACCTGGAAATAAATTCTTGAGTGAACCGACTTGTATAGCCATAAAAGCATTCCAGCAAATAATCAACGCAGCTTTAGGATTAAACTTCTAACCCTATCCCTGGAACATTTCTCAAATTATAATGACACTGAAATCTGGGAAAAATAGATGTATAGGCCAATAAGTCTGTTGCCAATGCTGTCAAAATTATTAGAGAAAGATATACTTAAGCAACTGAAAATCAATGAAAGAAAAGTTTCACTTGACCATCAATTTGGTTTCCTAAATAAACATGGCACCGTGAAATAGATTCATCGTGTGGTAGAAAAAATCAGCAATGACCTAGAAGGCAAAATATATTGTAGCGCAGCCTTTCTGGACATAATTAACACCTTGGCTACCGCCCATTTAAACTAATAACTTGTAATTTTGTACCAAATATTTTGTTATCAAATTTTAAGCTTATCTTCTTTATTATGTCAAAGACAGTATAAAAATATCACAAAAAATATTTTTGCTGAATTTTCAAGTTTTTAAAAAATGTGCGCCGGTGACTCACACGGTACACAAATGTTGCAAAAACGTGAACTTGAAATTGAGACCGTGTGAGATGCCGGCAAACACATATTACACATAGTCCATATCCATATCACTTCATATTATGTCGAATTGTTTTCTAAAATAACGTCAAGTAGCTTCAGCGAATTTTTGAGTTTTTAGTAAGTAAAAATCACACTAAATAATACATTCATTTTTTGATATCACTCTTTTTAGTTTCTACTATGTCTGAAAAACAAGTGAACCAATGGCTGGCATGGTATGAAGAAATCCCATCGGACGAGGATAATATTTCTGATGTCGAGGAACCATTTAAGGACAGTGGAAGTGAATATGAGATGTTAGACGACGATACTGAGGAGAGCAGTGATGAGAATCCAGAAGATGAACCAAAAACAACAGAGTTTCAATCTAATGAGAAAGGTGAAGAATGGGGAGAGGTAAATGGTGCATACTTAAAAGATTTAGTATATTCTGGAACGGGAGGAGTTAATAATGTATTAGATATTACTCCAATAAAAATTTTATCTGCTATCATTGATGATGACGTCCTAGACCTAATTAGAATTCAGACGAATATTCAGGCTTCAAGAACTACAAAGGGCAAATGGATACCGATTGCGAATAATGTTGAACTACGAAAATTTTTTGATATCATAATTTACATGGGCCTTGTAGTATATCCAAAAATATCTGATTACTGGTCAAGAAATCTTTTATTTGCAAATGAGTTTGTACCACAACTTATGTCGCGTAATAGATTTCAGTCTATACTACGACACCTGCATTTCTCTGATAACAGCACTAATAATCCCAATGATCGATTAGCCAAAATTAGACCATTAGTCGATATTCTTGTACATAAATACAAACACCTAAAAACTCCCGAAGAAGTTGTCGTAATTGACGAATCGATGGTACCTTTTAGAGGTAGATTAATTTTTAAGCAATACATCCCTGGAAAAGCTTCTAAATATGGTGTAAAATTATTTAAAATTTGGGATTCTCAAGGTTATACTTACCACGTTAAGATTTACGAGGGTCAAATGAAGCAGAAAAACAGAGAAGAGAGAGCAAGTAATACAATTGTTTATGAACTGCTTGAAGATTATGTTGGATGTGGAAGAACTTTAGTAGTAGATAATTTTTATACTAACCCACAATTAGCTCAAACGTTGTTAGAAAAAAAAACACATTTAATTGGAACACTAAGAAAAAACGTGAAACTTGCCCAAAATCTATTCTAGAACCTAAAAAGATGAAACGTGGAGAGATTGTAGGAGAGGAAAGTAAAAAAGGATATGTAGTTGGGAACTGGAAGGATAAGAGGAACGTAAGATTTCTATCAACAAAACATACATTGAAAATGTGTGAACAAAAAAAAATAGGAGAGGAGAACCTGTCATAAAGCCCGAAGCTATTGTTTTTTACAATAAATACGAACAAGGTATCGATATATCTGACCAAATGGCCAGCTATTATAGTGTGCTAAGAAGAACCATCAGATGGTACCACAAAGTAGCTTTGGAGTTACTTTTAGGAACCTCGATTGTTAATGCTCATCTTCTATATAAAACAATTACGGGTAAAAACATTACATCTAGAGATTTTAGACTACAAATTATTCAAAGTTTTGCATCCATTTCGAACGAGAAGAAAGTTGAAAAAATCCCAAAACATGAGCTGATCGAAGTACAAGAAAAAGACGAGAGAAACAGAAAGAAGAGAAAGCGTTGTATGACATGTTACAATAAGTTGTTAGTTAGTCATGATAGAAAGTTTGCACAGAATAAATGCAAGCAGGTGGCAACGTTTTGTAACAGTTGTTCAGGAAATCCATATATGTGTTTGGACTGTTTTAACTTAAAACATTAAATGATTGTTAAAATTTCATTATTTTTTGTAACTTGGTATTTTGTATTTGATTTTTTAAGCAATAAAGTTTTTTTTTACTTTATTATTAACCTGAATTCATTAAAAATCACATTTTACTTTCAATCTCTAATATGCAAGTTATATTACACTTTTTCAAAAACCATGGTAACTATAAGTTCATTACTTTATTTTGAAACCAATACGAGAAACTAAAAACTCTCGTTTTAACCCAGGCTGCTTTAGAGCATTTTAAGTCATTTAATAACGCTGGATGCCGGCGTCTCACACGGTACCACAGTCATATTTTGTGTGAGATGCCGGCATCTCACACGGTAGCCAAGGTGTTAAGGCATTTGATAGTTTGGCATGAAGCCTTAAATAAAACAAAACTTATCATATCCCTTCTATGAAATGATCAAATCTTAGCTGGGAATGCGAAACCTCCAAGTCAAAATAAACACAACCTTTACCAAAATTTTTCCTATCTCTGCAGGAGTATTACACGGAAGCATACTGGGGCGATCCCTATAGTTGCTATTTACTGCCACTGCTCGTATAACTCCTCCTCCTCTAACACCTCTTATATAAAACTCTTATATCATAATAACGATTTCGACTTCAACTTGGTATTCAACTTTGGGACACAGCCAGCAACTCCAACATAGACATTATTCAAAGGTAGCAAAACAATATACTATGCATTATATGCATACTAGTGAACACGCCCTGGTACATATGTACCGAACAGCATAATTCATAGAGATTTTAATGTTCTGTTTTAATTTTATTGAGTGTTAAAGAAGTGATCAAAAAGTTTAGTGTATCTTATCGGGAATGAGTGAAATTACACCCATACAAACTAGCAAGTAATCTAATAAACTTAGCAGAAGAAAGTAAAAGACTTAAGAGGTTCAAACCATCTGACTTAACTACAAGGTTTTAGTTTTAATTGGACTGTCAAAATATTTTTGAAGCAAAGCTTCTATACTGGCGTCATACTTTTTTCTCTACAGTAAAATGCCAAGGCGAGCGTCACGGAACTAGCGTCACAAGATGGCGTCGTCACGGGTAGCGTCACAAGATAGCGGTTCTTTACATCGATTCACTATTCTAGATCGATCACAAGATAGCGGTTCTTTACATCGATTCACTATTCTAGATCGATTCGTTTCTAGTCATCATATATTTACTCTATGCTTAGAATACATATATGATGCTAGAAACGAATTCATGGAAAACAGTGAATTAATGCGAAGATCGCCATTTCTTGACGCTACCCCTGACGCCTTTTTATGGCGCTAGTTACGTGAGCCTTACCCCAACATTTTATTATAAAGGAAAAAGTAATATGACGCCAGCATAGAAGCTTCGCTTCAAAAAATTCTTTAATTATGAATTCTTGTATCATGTACTAAGGTCTTGTAATATTTAAAATATGTAAAAAAATTTAAATACTGTATTTACGAAAAATGGTTAATGACAACTAATTTGAAACAAAAATAGGTTTATAGAAAGCAGACCGCGTTATAAACACTGTACTAAAGTATACGATGATGTTGACTCAAATATCAGAGTTGAACTAGATTGTGTTGTGTTAAAATCTTTCTTATTGTTATATAAAGCTAATAAGATCTATTTCTTTCAATATTAGCATCCCGTATGGTGTAGTTGCTATATTATCTTTATCTCGATGTTGTCGTCCAGATAATGGTATTTTCGAACTATTCAAAGAGTAAAGTCACTTTCCTGGTTCAGATTTCATCGTCTTCACATGCTCTACTATCTTTTGTTTTTTTTTTCTTAAGATCTTTGCCAATTTGCACATGCTATTTCCACTATCTAACTTGTTTAAAATGTCCATTTTATCTTTCAAAGCTAGAGTCTTGTATTTCCGTTTACTTGACATTTTTAACTACTTACTTAAAACAGTAGGTAAATATGTACGCACATGTACCAGATAAATTTTAAGGTTAGACTTTTTAAACTGACGAGTCGAATAAGCGTTGTGTGTTGTGTTAAGTATTGGTTGGTACAATAGTGTAGGCTGGCTACAGTGTACTTAGGACTTATGTCAAGTCAACGAATATAAAAATGGTATTTAAATGGGAATAAGCCACAATTAAAGGTTAAAGTGCGTTTATTGACGTTTCAATTTCCACTTCGGAAATCGTTCTCAAAATACAAACATTAGTAAATTAAACAAATTTTGTTTTTTTTTTGGTACAAAAAAAATAAAAATGGTAAGCAAGACGTTAAGTTTATTGAAGTGCCGGATTAGTGAGATTCTACTTTATTCCTATATCGAGTTAAATAAAACATTTTTTGGAAACTGCGGACCCGTATTTTTAGTAATCTCAACGAATATGGACAATTATAGGTAACTTCTCATGGACATGATGTCCTCCGTTTCAGATATAAATAAACCAGATTAGTAACTCGGTAGATACAAGGCGCTGATAGTCAAGTTGTTTGTAATATTATTAAAAAATAAAATATCAGTTAAAAAATTGCTTGGTTGACGTCTCGACCCTACAATATTTGCCGAGCTTTCTGCTTTTGGCCAAACCTTTACCTCACAATAACTACCAAAAGTTTTTATATGAAAATTGATTATCAAAGCCTATATCAACTGGGTTACAAACCTCGTTTATTTACATTTCCACACCGTTTAACTCGAGGAATCGTTTTTTTTTTCGTTAGCCCTCTCACGCATTGAGTCCACTGTAGTGGACAGATTCTTTTAACTCCAAAAAATATATTTTAATTCTCTGAAACTTATGCAAAATGCATGAAATCCCTTTCAGTGGACTCTAATCAAGTAACTACTACCGCCATCTACAATATTTATTTTGAAATTCAAAGTTTGTTTATGCTAGTATCTATGAATAACCTGACCGCAATGACCACCTGTGAATTGCCTGAAATAAGTGCCCGTAGTTTTTATGAAAAGCAAACAAAAAGGTAAGAAAATATTTTTCTTATAGAATTATGTATTTTACACAATTTGCCCATGTTATAATTTCAAAATAATTGAAAACTCACCGAAAATATCGCCTTGAAGTCATGTCCACTAGACTGGACGTCATGCAATATGTAACTTAGAATTTCACTCTTGTGGTATGTTTTATGAGTATAATTTTTAGAGGGGTAGTAGCTTTCTTGTTCACATATTTTTTGCTTTTCTTGTCAAAGATTTATTATTGATTTAGGGATTTTCGAGGGCATTTTTTTATGTACTTACCTATATTATTTTGGTACAAATAAATAAATTTTATTTATTGACATAATATTACTTCTTCAATGGAAAATTTTCTTCTATTTCAGAAAGTACTTTTTGCCGATGAAGACGACAATAGGGACGAAATACCTTTATGTTTACCAGAAAATGAAGAATTTATAGGTATTGATAATGATGACATTATTTATGATTTACCAGAAGGTTCAGATTTGGAATCTGATTACAATGACGAAGAGACGTATTTGCTCGAACATGTAACGGCTGAAGACCAAATTGATGAAAGTGACTTAGAAGAAATACAGCCAGAAAACAGTGACGATGATATGAGTGAAGATGACATTCCATTAGCTCAGCGTATTTTGGCATTTTCATCAAAACATAATAGTCAAGAGAAAAAATCAAAAAAGGCTGAGAAAAAAGACTGGAAATGGTGCAATAATGACAGCATATATGGGCCCGCAACTTTGCCACAGTTTAGAGGAACAGAAAATATTCATGTTCAAGGAAACAATCCAATTGATTATTTTTTATCACTGTTCACCGCAGACATAATGGATGATATCGTCTTTCAGACCAATTTATATGCTGACCAAAACAATAAATTAAAATTTGGTTTTACAAAATATGAGTTATATGCTTTCTTGGGCATAAATTTAGTGATGGCGTACATCAGGTATCCCAGAATACGGCTTTACTGGTCAAGTGATAATGGCCTGAGAATGGACCTTATTGCAGATGCTATGCCTGTTAATAGATTTGAATCTATTTTGAGGTTTTTACATTTCGTAAATAATGATAATGTAAATCAAAATAACACGGACAAATTGCGAAAAATCCGACCATTTTTGGATAAAATTCAGAAAAACTTCTTAGGTAACACAGATCCAGAGGAATACCAATCAGTTGATGAGCAAATTATTCCACTAAAAGGAAAATTAGGTATAAAGCAATACTTACCAAAAAACCTAAAAAGTGGGGAGTCAAGTTTGGGTAAGAGCTGGAATTATTGGATATGTATCATTTTGAGGTTTACCAAGGAGCCTCAGGAGACAGAAGTCAAATTAGTAAACTTGGAGCGTGCGCTGATGTAGTTTTGCGTCTAACTGACGACTTGAAGAGAATAAATCATAAAGTATTTTTTGATAATTTATTTTGCTCACTTCCCCTTATCGAAGAACTGCATAAAAGAGGTATATGGGCGACAGGAACTCTCCGATTAAATCGACTACAAAATTGTAATTCTGTTATGAAAACAGATAAACAAATGAAACAGGAGGGTAGGGGAACTGCATCTGTTGCAAGTACTGAAGGTGGCAATATAATTGTATCTAAATGGCTAGACAACAAGACTATTTACATTGTTTCCAATTGTGCTGGAATAGAACCTAAGAATAAAACAAAACGCTGGTGTAAATCTACTAAGACTACTATGGAAGTGAACAGACCATTTTCTGTTCAGTTTTATAACAAAAATATGGGAGGAGTAGACCTGATGGACCAGTTGTTGGCCCTGTATCCTCTAAGGAGAAGAAACAAACGCTGGTACATAAGAGTTTTTATGCATTTTGTGGATGTTCTTGTTGTAAATGCATGGATTTTGTACAAGAAAAACGGAAATCCAAAAAAAGATCTGCTTGAATTTAAAGCAAGTATTGCCAGAGCATTAATAAATTTGGGAACACAGAAAGAAAATAAACGAGGTAGACCTTCGTCTGGTACACCACCTCCCATTTTGAAGAAGAAGAAACCGAATCATCATGCACCCCCTGAAATTAGACAAAGTAATTGGGGGCACTGGCCACAACTAATTGATATATCAAATGCTCGAAGATGTCACTCTAAAGCTTGCAAAAGAAAAACAAAATACATCTGCAAAAGGTGCAATGAGCCGCTGTGTCCATCGTTTTTTGAATATTTTCATACCAGTAACTGAGGCTTCCGCGATTCTGCAAGTGTATAGTGACCACTAGAGTGGACGGACTATTTTTTAGGGTTTAAGAAAAAAATTTTATGTTTTTTCACTTAATAGACCATTTTCTAATGTTAATTTTCAATATTTTGCAATAAAATAATTTTTCTAAGAAAAAAAAATTTTTCCCTAAAATTATGCATGAGAGGGTTAACGACTAGCGTTCTATAAGTGTCATTGGTTATATTCTAACAATATTAACGATTTGAGTTGTTCTATCTACTAAGAAATTGAGAATTATTAACAGTCCATTGTACTAAATACCCAATACCAAGCTACATACAGCAGTTTTTAAGCCTACAATGTTACTAAAAGCAAGAAAGCAAGTTATTATGTTTTGGTGAAAGAAGTGTGATGTAACCTACATGCTGCTGGCAAAGAAGAACACTCGAAATGAATTATTTCGAGATAGCTGCAGAAAGTATACAAACGCTTTCGTAGAAGCTATGAGATTTAACCTTGTATGATGTGTTACTGTAGACTTCGTCGAACAATTCAGGGAATCTGCTTTGCATTCTTTCGGCTAAAACCAGCATTTCTTCCTCGCCTTCGTGGGTTAGTTTATTCTTGTCATCTACGTCCAATGTGAGTTTCCATTTACGAAGAAGATCGAGGTCTCTATTTTTTACATGATCTGAAATATAGAGGTTTTAATTTATTAAAATTTATGATTTGATTTGAAAATGAATTACGAAAGTAAATGAAAGAAGGGATTGCATGTCATTTGTTATGGGGACGTTATTTTGAGACATTGTGAGAAATGGCATTATCTCGAGACTATCATTGAGTCCTTTAAAAATTATAGGATTTATGCCATATAAACACATTTAACTTTGGAATTCAGTATCTTAAAACTTTAATGAATTAATAAACTTTACTGATCAGATTGTTCTACGAAGGCAAGATAAAAATTTTTGCTAGAATTAGTGAAAAAAGGTTTTTTTTTAATTCATCTATTTCTAAATGTAGGACGTTCATTAAACCTTGTCTGAATTACGATTGTGGAAGGTCTATTGTTTTGGATCTGAAACTAGAAAGAATAAAATTAATCACAAAACCATGAGTAACCGGTATAAAAATTAACCATCTAAAATAAAACTAGATCATCACCAAAGGACAATTGATGAAAGAATATATGACCAAATCGACAGCTCTCAATTAATGGAAATCATCCTTGATAATGCCAAAAAATCGGAAGCCTGCAACAACAAAATCAACATAATAAATTGTCTAATAAAACTAAAATAATGCTAAAACAAAGACGGGAAATGATTGCAGCAACATAAAGAGAATACAATACACAGAACTTTGTAAAACAATAAGGAAAAGTATTAAGGAAGGCATACGAAAATACAATGGAAGACTAGTAAAAAATGCAATCGAAAACAGGAAAAACTATAAGAAAACAAGAGAAGCATTAATCATTGGGAAGAAGCAAATCGTTGCTCTAACAAATGAAAACACCAGAATTTCAGATAGAAATGAAATAATACAACTCGTAACTAAATTCTACAGCGAACTATACAAAGCCCCTGACACACTTAAAGAAGTAGAACCAACAATTGCAAAAATGAAAAGTGGTAAAGCAGCTGGAATAGATGGTATAACAGTGAAACTGCTTAAATACGCTGGCAATAAAACCTGGAAAATCTTAGCAGGCATATTTACGAACTGCCTAAGATCGAGATGCATACAAGACCTCTGGAATACAGCAAACATAATTCTCATTCATAAAAAAGGTAACAAAGATAATATCAAAAACTACAGACCTATAAGTCTATTATTAATCGTATACAAGATATTCACAAAGATCATCAACAACAGATTAACGAAAGCATTAGATGCTGCACAGCCGAGAGGACAAGCTGGCTTCAGAAGTGGATTCAGTACCATAGATAATATTCATATACTTCGAAAACTAATGAGTAGAGCTAAAGAAGTAGAAGTAAAGAACTAATGAGTAGAGCTATGAAATACCGCTAGCATTACCCTTCATAGATTTCGAGAAGGCTTTTGATTCTATATATTTCAAGGCAGTAATAGAAATTTTGACCAATCAAGGCATTGACAAACCGTACATAGAAACTTAAGCAAATATATACAGACAAGCAAATACTGAGGTAAAAGTTTATGAAAACACAGAATTTCCCACTACTAGAGGCGTCTGACAGAGAGACGCAATATCACCAAAGATCTTCACTGTAACTCAAGAAAATATATTCAGCAAAATCAACTGGCAAAACAAAAGAATATCCATTGATGGAGAATACCTCAGCCATCTAAGATTTGCAGACGACATCGTTCTGATTGCTAATAATCCTGCAGAACTTATGAACGACCTAAATGCAGCTAGCAATGAAGTTGGCCTAAAAATGTACGTGAATGTCCACGATCTAATAATAAACAACACTGCACTTAAAACAGTAGACGAGTATGTATACCTGTTACAATTAATACATAAATCTGGCTCTTTACTTCCAGAAATCAACAGAAGAATGAAACTAGCTTGGACATCTTTTGGTAGAAATGCAGTTATATTCAAATCGAAGATGCCAATCTACCTGAAAAAAAAAAGGATTGATCAGTGTATACTACTAATCGTGATATACGGCTGCGAAACTTGGACCCCAAAGAGAGAAAATATCGAAACTCAAAGTCACTCAAAGGTCAATGGAGCAATGCATGCTAGGTATTCCAAGGAGAGATCGAAAAAAAAAATAGAATGTATCAGACAGAAAACCAAGGTTATTGATGTAATCCATAGAATTAAATCTTTAAAATAGCAGTGGGCGGGACATTTAGCGAGAAGAACTGACAATAGATGGTCCACTAGAATTACACTGTGGTATCCAAGAGGCGCCAAGAGACCAAGAAGACGTCCAAATTTAGGATGGGACTATGACATAAGGAAACAAAACGGTACAACATGGCACATATCGGTAGAATATGCTGAGAATGAAAACATTTTCCTACGTCTTCCAATACTCAATCGCCATTTTTTGGTCCTTCCATGGGTTTTCCTCTTTTCCTTCTACCATGAGGTTGCCATTTTAAGATTTGTTTTGGAAGTCGATCATCGGACATTCTTTGAACATGACCCTACAATATTAGTTGTTGGGTACCAATATATTCTACTATTTTTCTTTTTTTACTGTTAATAACTCTCCAATCATTATTTCCCTGTCGAACGTCTCCAGAAATTCATTTCCCTTGCTTCAAGTTTTCTCTTCTATCGTTATTTTATTTGCCATACTTCACTGCTGTAGGTGACTGTACTTTTAATAATTGTATTATACATCCTACATTTGTTACTATTTGTTATTGATTGGCCCCAAAGTACATTATTTAGAAGGGCTATTGATTTTCTTCACTGTTGTTACTTTCTTCTATCGTGTCGATTCTCTTCATTTGTGATGATCATACCCAGGTACTTGCAATGGGTCGCAATATCTAACAATTTCTTCATTTTCCAATGCGAGATCCTGCTGGACCTCGCTGTTTTTATATTTAAAAGTCCCTATTTTTTTATATTCCTCAATATCGTTATTCAAAATGTAACTAATTGATTCTATTACTTTATTCTGAACTGTTTTAGATACGCCGCTAAATGTCTTCGAATTAGAAAGTAAATTAAAAAACTCCAAATCGTAGTTCTTAAACATTTTTATTAGTTCTCTATAATTACCTTGATTTAACGAATGCTCCGATTCATGATGCCCCCTAAATGATAATTCTTGACAACTTAAAAAATTACAATATCAATAAAACGACATAAAACTGCGTGATTATTGTTTACAATTTCGTTATCTTTAATAACATTTTCACGTTGGGCATTATCTAATGAACCATGAGATATTTTGTTTTCCAAACAAATATAATTTAAATTAATTTAAATTTTAATCTGTCTTTAAAAATATCATGTTATCAAGCCCTATAATTCCTTTAAATTATTGTACCCAGATTCACACCACGGATTTTGATGTTTTCCCATATTTGTCGAAAATAAGAAACAAGGCCAACAGAATTGTTTCTTTTTTATTTCACTCCCATGAGTACTTGCTGTACCAAATATCTGAAAATAATCTATTACTAAACTTGATTTTGCATATATCGTGGTACACCTAAGTTCCATGTTTCGCAGTCAATATCCCAACTAGAAACACACACACACACACACACGTGCGGGCGCGCGTCATTAAGCCGCTTATTTATTTTTCGAATGACATTTGCGCATTACATATTCAAAATTTTATATAACTGTCATTAGGATTATATGCATTCAAATTATACATTCATATATGAAAATTTCACTATTTTAAATATAATTTATTAACTAACCATAATTGCAAAATCATATTTGGGTGTAATTACCCATACGTAAATTATTATTAAAAAAAGGTAAACCGTCAGGTGATAATATATTAAGTGCATGTAATTTTTAATCATACTTCAGGTGTAACAAAAGCTTTTACAAAATTTTTGACAAAAGTCAAGGTTATCTAGATTTTAATCATTACAAATATATAATGGTAAATTATGTATTTAATGTACACTACCGAGCATAAAATTAGTGTTACCTCGTAATAAGAAGTTATTTTAGATTTTTTTTGTATTTTTTTCGGGTGCAATATAGTTTATTAATTGATTTCTTAAAAAAAAGTTATTATTTCGATAAGCGTTTGACAAAAAAGGGCCCTCATCCAAATTCCTAAAAAAAACATTATCAGCATAGTTTGTTTCTGTGATTTCATCAGTAGATTGCAAATTGTTTGTTTAGAGCTGTCATTACTGTTGTGGCAAAAACTGTAGCTTCTTTAGAAGATTGCTGCGATTACCACGAAATGTTGATGTAAATCTCTCAGAGTATGCAATTACTCTCAGTGGTATGAAGACACCGGTTTGTTCACTAAAACCTGGTTTAGGGCCAGGAATGATTACACGAGCTAGAGATCAGTGTTTACTTCGACCCTCCAAAAGAAAACTGTCGAAACTAATTTTTTTTAATTTTCAGTTATTAGCATAAACAGATTTCATGATACCGAAATTTCTTCCAGAGAATAATATAATAACTCAAATCGTAATATAGACAACACAACATACATAAATGTAACTAGTATCTCAATGCTCTCTGTACTTTACCGCGAAGAAAGTAGTATTATGGAGTTGCCTTAGACAAGGAAAGAGAGAGGACGGGTAACGCTCGTTCAACCAACCTTCAAAAAGTGTTGCCACTTTTTGATGTGTCCGCCATTTTTTGGTGGCAAACAATAGACCTGACACCAGTTTTGTTTTTGTGGTTTTTTAAAAAAAGTGAATTAAATACCTATTTTTTTTTACTTTACAAAATGATGAATTGTGCATATATTCTTTGTAAAAATCGCAGCGAGCAGAAAACACCAGGAATATCGTTTCATAGGTAAATATTTATAATAGTGCAATTAGGTATTAACTGATTTTACTTTTTATTTCAATTTTAAACCTCAAAACCAATTTAAATTAGTATTTTAAGGAAAGGTGAGATCTAAATTACTAAATAAGAATGCTAAATATGCATAGTTATTTCAGTAATTGTATTATAATTAATAATTTCACTCACACACCATGATGATTTGCCAGCAACGGTGAGCGTTGAGGGTTAAAATTCCATAAAATATTCCATAAATAAGTCAATAAATAAATAGATTTCGTTAATTTTGATTCCAAAATATTTGTATAAAATAAAATAATTTAAATAAAAAATTTAATGTACAAAAATGTTTCATTTTAAATACGAATTAGTCAATCCTTAAAAATACAAAGATACACCGCTGACCAATTCCTCGGTGGCAGTTTGGCTTCACTTTTAGCGATACGGTTACGCGTCCTCTCTCTTTCCTTGTCTAAGGGAGTTACTATGGTGTTCGCTGTAAATTTGTGAGAAGGGACCGAGATAGGTTATGTTAAATGTCGTTTTCACATTAGATGAAGTACTAAAAAGAACCTTGTTTACTGTTATAATAATGTCGCAGAGAACTAAGCGAATTTTGGAATTATTTGTTAATAATAATATCCAAATAGCATCAGGTGTCATTATATTTATTTGGATATCTGCTTAAAATATGAATGTTATACATAGCATGGGCAGTAAAAAAGTTAATTTCAAAGGAACAATCTAGATATTTAATTATTTAAAGGTTTTTTTTGTTTTTTCATTAATTTTTTTTATTTTTTTTCTTAATATATTTCTTCCTGATTATTCAGATAATGATCCGAACTGTGTTCCCTCAGGATCAAGTAATAATCTAGGTATTTAATCATTTAAACGTTTCTTTTTTTTAATTACATTTTTTTAAATGAACGTAACGACGACAATCATACCGTTGACATTGATACCAATATATTCCCTTCTGATTATTCTGATGATGATCTGAACTATATTCCCTCAGGATCAGAAGCCGAAAACGAAAATTTGAATCTATCCGATAACAAAAGAAGTAATGTGTCATTGAACAGACTATCATCAAAAAGAAAGCGAGAAGTGACAAAAGGTTAGGATAGGAAGAAAACGTTAGAAATGAGAACGAATGCATTGACAAAAAAGTCAAAAGATAAATTAATAGCGGTCTGGAACATAAGAACCGCAAAGATAAGTTTATACCTGCAAAGAAGATAAAGGTTCCTTGTAAGGATAGTTGCAGATATAAATGTAATAGCATATTAAATTTTGCAACAAAACAAGTAATTTTTGACGAATTTTGGAAACTTGGAGATTATACCAGGCAGTGGGATTTTCTTGAAAGGTGCGTGATACAGCAAGGTAAAACGAAATCCGAAAGATGGTAATAAGGCATTGTCAAAAAGTAATAAATCGTTTTAAACAATATGCTTCGATTTGCAGAAGGTATTAATAACGCCCAAATCAGAGGTCAGTAACTTTTATTATAAGAGTAAGCTTGCAACTTATAATTTTACTATTTACGACTTGGGCAATAAGCAAGGATATTGCTACGTATGGTATGTACGAATATCAAAAAGGGGGCCCAATGAAATTGAAAGCTGTTTATGGTATTTTTTAAAACAAGATGGCATTCGAAAAGTCGTGTTTTACTCCAACAATTGCGGAGGGCAAAACTTTTTCTTCTTCACGTGCCATCTCCACGACAGAGGTTGGCAATCATCATGGCTATTCTGATCTTAGATGCTGCTGCTCTGAATAGTTCAATTGATGTGAATAGGGCAAAACTGGAATTGTTTTATATTTTCGATGTTTGCTCATGCATCAGTGACTTTAGATCTGGAAATAACACACTGTTTCCTTGAGATGGGTCACACCCAGAACGAAAATGACAGTATGCTGACCAGTAGATTAGCCTCATAAGGATGGCAAAAGATACTTCCCCACAGGATAGAGTGAAAAAAATGTCTCTAGAAGACTTTTTTAGTTTTAAACAAATTGTTCAGAAACAGAACTGGAAGAACACTGAGGAGGTGATAAAGATAAGCAAAATTAGGGAAATTCACTTCGAACCAAAGAATCCTTATAAAATTTATTTTACCTACAGTTTTGCAGCAAATTACAAAGAACTCGACATTGCAACATCAAAATTACGTAAACCTCAATAAAATAAACTACCACGTTTATACCAAGGTCTTTTACCAATTGACAGTAAAAAATTAAATGATCTATTAAGTTTATGTAAAGCCAATTTGATACCAGCAATATACCATGGGTTTTATAACTCCCTGCGGTCTGCTAGTGAAGACATTCTACCAAAGTGCTCTACAAATCAAAAAAGTAGTTCCGAATCTGAACAATAGCAGTACTGAGCAATTAGTCGTTAATTATTATTATAATTAGTGTCATAATGCCATTAAAAACAAATGGCTAAAAATAAAATATTTATTAATTTTAGTTGTTTTATTATTCTAGTATGTTTTTATAAATGAAATTTTTGTCGACAAAGACTGTAGTAACTCATTCAAAATTCAAAATCGAATATCTTCTGAAATTCATATTTCTTTGCAATAATTCTGATTGCTCAAATAATTATTACTAAGTGAAAAAATGGAAAACATAGTAGTGATAATTAAAAAGTTACAGAATTTCACTTTTCACAATTATTTTTAAATGTAATTATCTTGGAATGAACGATCTTAAGTTACGACAGTTTTCATTGGGAGGGTTGAGTTGTTTCTAGTGAGTTGTGAAATCACTTCGAAATCATCTGCAGGAAGTGCATGCAAATATTAATCCCATTTGTCATTAAAAGTGCTTAACTGTCTTAACCTATGCTCCTTGATTTTGGCATCAATTGGTGTCACATTTAGACTTCAAGGTTTACTTCAATGTAAAACTACAGAATTAAAGTTTAAAGTCTTACTAGATGAAAAGAATACAAAAATGATGGTGATTTATATGGTAAAGTATTGATGCATAGATAAGTATTCCTAGCATCGCTCTGAATGGCTTGATTAAGCTTAAGTATACAGTTTACTTTAATAATCACTATTAACATTCACTTCATTTTTCCTCATTAGAGATCCCTAAATGCATACTTTGGTAATTATTTTACTATAATTGCCATACTAGCTGGCTTTAATTTTGTTCCAGTCTCCAATGGTAAAGGACTTGAATTAGATCAAAACACAACTGTCTATATACTTATTTTAAAGTTTAACAGGTCTCATATTGTATCTGTGATGTACAAATAAAGAAAATATTGTACTAGAAGCAATAAAAAAGATAAATTTACTTGAAATAGTAGCTGTCTCATCATTCAAATTAAATACAACATTTGGCAAATAAGTAAATATAATTATGACTTACCATTTGGTAAAGATGTACTCTCCACCAGAAGTTTTCTAATCTCAGGTAAACGAGCCAGCATTTGCTCAATCACAGAATATTTTGGATGCCTAGTTCCATGTCTTACGATCATCCATATCTTTTTTGGAGTACAACCTATTAATGAAATATTTCAATGTTAAGTTTGGAATGAATGTAAAGGCTGTATTTGAGAGTTAATGTAAATTTATTATACAAGATCATGCATCTTCATTAAGAGTATACCAGTATTTTAGTTTAAATCATTGTATTCTACTTATTTTTGGACTTCTACCTGGTGTTTCTCTTTGAAACTTCTTATGTTCACAAAATACATTAATTTTTTAGTTTAAATGTTTTTTTATTATTTCCTTGCGCTTTTTCTTCTTCTTCTAATGGCGCTACTACCTTTTGTGAGTCTTGGTCTGCAAGACAATGTTCTTCCATTCCACCCTGTCGGACACTTTCCTTCGCCACTGCCTGATGTTCATGGTTTTAAGATCCCTCTCTATGTCATCTATCAATCTTTTATGGGCCTTGCTCTTGTTCTGTTTCCTTGGGGCTTCCATCTCTGGACTACTGTTACAGCTCAATTATCTGGCATTCTTTCTAGGTGACCAAGCCAGTTTAGTCTTTGTGACTTTACAAATCTAACAATATCTGCACTCTGCATTAGTTCATCCAGCTTGTGGTTCATTTTAATTCTCCACGAACCATCGCTGCATTGGGTTAGTCCAAATATCTTCCTTAGTATTTTGCGCTCAAATATTCTCAGTTGATTTTCATCAGTGGTTGAGAGGGTCCACGTTTCACATCCATGTGACCACTGGTCTAATTACTGTTTTGTAGATTTTAAGCTTAGACTCACGATTCAGTAACTTACTTTTCACTAAGTCTTTGTATGCATACAAGCATTTATTACTGCTAAGAATCCGTGCTTGTATTTCTTGACTGATGTTGTTGTCATTTATTGTTTATTAATTTTTTATTTATTTACGGGATGTCCTCATTTTTACAAAATTTAACAAAAATAAAATACGCTAACCATAATACAAGTACATACTAAAACTAAGTATTGAATAATGATTAAATAATTATTGTTAAACAAATGATTAAATTAAATCAATTAAACAAAAGATTAAATTAAGTAAAATAAACAAATGATTAAATTAAGTAAATTAAATTAAATTTCCTGAAGATCTTAATAAAGTGAAATGATCTTAATAAAATAAAATAAACTGAAATGATCTTAATAAAATAAAATGAAATGATCTTAATAAAATAAAATGAAATGATCTTAATAAAATGAAATGAATACTCCAAGTTAAATGTCACTCATCTTTGATTCCTAACATAGTCAGTCAAACAGTGCTTAAATATTATATATTTTATATCCACCAGATCATGAGATTGGCTAAAGTCATTTCCCAGGATCTTAATTCTGTTAATAGGAGAGAATTTGCCAATAAGTTAGTGTGATAGTGTTTTATAGAAAACAAAGGCATATCTCTAAGAATTCTAGTGTTACATCTAAAGTTGATAATACTTAATAAATCAGAACAGTCAGTGGTATGGTCAAGTAATATATCGACTGGTCCAACGAAGACTGTAGTAACTCAAATTTTCCACTTTTTGAGTTACGAGCGCAAAACAATTAAACATAATGATATCTTTCCCAGGAAAAAATCATATCTCAGTAAACGTTGTTATGCAATCAATATTACGTGTAAGAGTTTTATAGTATCTCCGATTTATAAAAAACAACCGTAGAAAATCATCGTATCTTGAGTTACAATAGTCTTCGTTGTTATCTGAGTCAATAGCATAGGTATCATAACATGAGTTACTACGGTATTCTGCGTTAGTTTGAGGTTATGTTCAAAAGTTTAGTTTTGTTATAATTGCCATAATGTGATCCAGAAGTAAGTTAATATTGGAATTAGCTGAGAAAGCGTATAAAAACACTGAAACGGATATTTCTTATCGTTCTTTTGAAGGTAAATTTATAAAAAACTTTATTTAAAATAATAACAGCAAAGTAAAAACCTACTTATTTTTTAAGGTAAACATATTGCTGAAAGTATTGTAGAAGAAAGCAAATACAGAAAGGCGAATGAGGATCCTGGTGACCACGAGACTGATATTAATCCTGAATGTTGTACAGGTTGGTTTAAATTCCGCATGAAAAAATATTACGTAGGCATTTACCTCATTGTTGTTTAATTTTAGTAATCTTAGAAGAGAATGAAGCCAATAGGAATGAAAATGAAATAATTGAGAAGGAAAGCGATGAGGAACCATTTTATGCAGACTTTAATACTGACCCAGATTACATTCCGACAGAAGACAAAAACATCTCTGAAGTAATAATTGAACCTAATAAGAATATAACTGAAGCAACCACAAATAGAAAGAGAAGAAGCAGAGGCAATATAGAGAGAGTAAGTAGGAAAAGAATTAGAGACGTTAGTAAGTGGGCGGATGAAAAATCTAAAACAAGTCCAAACCTGGGACTTGAACATGAAAATCGAAAAGGTATTCAAATTATAGGAAGACAGATGGGTGCACCATGCGCAAACACATGTAGAATAAAATGTGCTACCAAAATAGCTAAAGAACATAGAGACCTTTTTTTCAACGAATTTTGGAAGTTAAAAGATCATACGAGAAAGTGGGATTTTATTGCTCGTCATGTGAGACAAGTAAAAAAAAACAAGTAACTATTACTGCAGAACAACGGTCTCGAAGAAATTACTCTCGAGAATATTACTTCTAAATTCGCAATGAAAAACAACGTATTTGCAAAACTATGTTTTTGGAAACCCTTAACGTTTTAGAAACTTGGATCACTACAGCATTAAGAAAACTGAAAGATGGTGGATCATTAGAGGAAGATAAACGTGGAAAGCACACTAACAGACCACATAAACTATCACCAGAACTTATAGACAACGTAAAAAATCACATAAATCAGATTCCTGTAGTACCTTCCCATTATACCCGTAAGAATACGATGAAGATGTACCTTGAAGAAGGGCTAACTATCCAGAAAATGTACCGATTGTACAACGAGCATTGCGAAAAAAATAACATCACTACAACTGCCACGTCACGCCAGTATAGAGATATTTTCAATGAACAGTTCAATATTGGGTTCTTTAAACCAAAAAAGGACCAGTGTACTATTTGTTCTGTTTTTAATATGGCTAGTGATGATGAAAAAGCAATATTGCTCAAACAATATGAGTCCCATATGAAAAACAAAGAAGTTATCAGAAACTTAAAAGACATAGACAAACAGCTTGCACTAGATGATAAGAGCTTGTGTGGGGCTTGCTTTGACCTTCAAAAGGTTTTAGCTACCCCTTTGTCTAACGTAAGTGATTTTTACTACAAAAGCAAATACTCTACATATAACTTTACAGTTTACGATGTTGGAAATAATCAGGGTTACTGCTATGTATGGGACGAGCAGGTGGCTAAAAGAGGTACTAATGAAATTGTCAGTTGCCTCTGGAAATTTTTAGATCTCAAGGCACAACAAAGTGTTAAAACGATAATATTCTACTCAGACAACTGTGGGGGACAAAATAGGAATCGTTTTGTGTTTTCGATGTTTACTTTTGCTGCTGCTCATTTTCATATTGATATTGTACACAGATTTCTGGAAAAAGGCCACACTCAGAACGAGGGTGACAGTACGCATGCTGTTATCGAAAATGCAAAGAAAAGGCAATCGGTTGTATATGTGCCAAAACAGTGGATTACATTAATTAGAATGGCTAAAACTACAGGAAGAGTTTATGATGTTACGGAAATGTCCCAAGATAATTTTTTTAATTTTAAAAAACTGACATACCGAGAATTGGAAACTTCACAACGAAAAGAAATCAATAAAAGATAGCAAAATACGAAAAATAAAATTTTCGCATAAACACCAAAATTCTATAATGTTTAAATACGAATTCGATGATGGTTTTAGAGGTTGTGACATAAAATTAAATCGAAAATGCAGAGGACACGGCCTTCCACTACTATCAAATTTCCACCGAAACTGTATGATGCACCATTACCAATTGAAGAAAAAAAGCTAAAAGGATTACTGTGGCTGTGTAATACCGGCAAAATACCCATAATGTACCATGGATTTTATAAAAATCTTAATTCAAAGAGTTATGTACCTCCTGAAGTCGAGCTCGAAGTTGATTCAGTTGAGAGCGAAGAAGAGTCGGATGAGGAAAATTGAATTCAAATATAAAACTGCAAATTATATCAGTAGCTTCTTCAAAAGATAGCATTTTATATAAATAAAGTTAAGAAACAAATAATTCTGGTATTTATTACTTTAAAAATATCTCCATCGAAAACTATAGTAACTCATTCAAAAGTCACTTATGACCATTTCTGTCTTAAATCTGTTTTACCCTTGTAAGATCATTATTAAAAGTATCACTTAATGCTATAAAAACATCCATTTAATAGATTAATGAATTTTGGTAACAGTGTAAATATATTTTTATAATTATCTCAATTACATAAAAAATTAGTTACTACAGTCTTCGTTGGACCAGTCGATATGAAGAAAAACTAGATCACATTTAGTTCTGTAGTCTCCTAAGGAACTGATATTTAGCCTTGACCTTAGTTCTACCGAAGACATGTTCCTTAAGTTTAATCTATAAGCACAAATCCGGAGAAACTTATTTTGAAGTTTTTCAAGGGTGTGAATATGGTTAAAATAGTATGGTGACCATACTATAGAAGCATAAGACAGTATGCTAAGGACGAAAGTAACATATAAAATTCTATATGTGGGTACTGGAAGATCTCGAGAGTTTCTTGTGATAAAACCTAGATTTCGGTAAACTTTATTTGACAAATTGTTGATATGGGGGATAAATGACAAGGAACTGTCAAATAACACTCCCAAATCTTTTATTTCAGTCACTCTTGATAGAAGGCTTGTATTAATGTGATAGTCAAACACAACATTAGTTTTAGATTTGCTAAAGGATATAACAAAACACTTATCTTTATTGAGCCTAGGTAGGGGAAAGTGGAAGCATATTTGTAGGTATGGTTGGATACCTTCAGATTCTCATGTTGATTCGATTTTGTGCACTCCATATAATTTGTTTTGCTTTCATTTATATATAGAACAAACCTAGCAGCTTCTTGTTTCAGTTCTATAACTTTTTCGCTTAATACCCTCTTGTTGCAGCTTATTATGGCAACATCATCCACATATGCGCATATTTGCATTGATCTTGTATTAATACAGCAATTTATATCCAGTTTTCTAAGAACAGCTTCTAAAGTTAGATTAAAAAGTGTTGTTGATACATTGCCTTGTCTAACTAAATTTTCAATATCAAAGGCCTGCGTCATATCTCCATCTATACTCACCATAGCTTTGGAACCCTCCAGAGTCATTTGTATAAGTTTAACCAACTTATTGGGTATCCCTAACATAGTAGCTTTATCTTTTTTCGATCTACTCCATCAAACATCTGTTGTATATCTGAAAACCATATACAATTTCCTTGTGCTTATTTATTCTAATTATAAACATAGTTTCATGATAGGTATACAATGTCCATCTAACAATTGCCTGATTTTCTTCTACAGCACTATAGCTCAAATGCACTTTTTTAAAAATGGCATCTATTTTGGTCTAGTGTTTTACTACATTAGAGAGCATAGGAAACATACCTTAGTATTCTGATCTTCAATTTCAAATATACCTATGTAAAGTCAAAGAAAGCTCATTTTTGTCTCAATAGTTATGCAGTTATATATGCAATAGTTTGCATCCTATGTAAGTTATCTTGTTTTGAAGATGTACCTTACTAACTTTTATTTAGATGTTCCCATAAATTTGATTTCCTTAAAATTTTTGTAAATATAGATACATAGTATAACTTTTTCATATCTATTAGTAGTACTTAATATATCATATTTATATTGTAGATTGTTAATAGCGCACAGTAAATTATTTCTTTGACCAGCGAAGACCAGAGAAATATGTTTAATGATATATTCATCTAACGAAATAAGTGTGATAACCAGAAAGTTACAAGAATGGAAGATATACAATATGACCGGTTATAACAAACGCTCTCCAAAAATCTATAATTAAATTATATAAAAAAATAGAGAATGTAGATTAACTTTTCTGGAAAGATTAAATCTCAGAGGAAATTCTATTAACAAATATTACTTGTTTTACTTACCTCTATATTCTATCCGATCAAAACTCTTATTTGACACTATCCTGTAAGGAGTCATCTGTGCGAGATGATTCTCGAAGGGATAACCATAGTTGGTGCACTCAATTGAAAAACTAACTAAAAAACAAATTAACAAGAGCACCGACTGGTACATCACAGCTCTCATGTTTGCGCTTTAAAACCAACTGTACATTTTCAATTTATGCATCACTTATACCTTTGTATGGCTATAAATTTCGATAAGATTAACGGGGATTGACCGAATTCTGCAAAAGAGGTGAGCTAACTGTAAACCCGCATCAGTCTTGTGTATTAATTATCAGTGATTGGCAATAAGAAGCAACGAGTTCAGAGGTATTTTTCACAATAACTTTAACATTATTTATATAACGACGATAGAGTCAGAAAAATATCTAGTAATAAATAAACAGTATGTAATTTTTGTTGTATTTACCACAAAAGTTCAATTGAACTACGTTGGATTCTAAAGTGACAGTAGTTCAAATCAACTAGAGGTTAGGTTTTCATTTATACATACGAGGGATATTTGATATTTCATAGTTTTCAATTTTGCAAACATAGTTTTCCATCCATACATATAGGTATTTTAAGCTCATATATATCTTGTATTCAGTTTCAATATATCATATATTAGCAACAGTTTTTATATGGTTAACATTATAATAAAATTATCTCCTTAAATATTGTGTTTTTAAATTTTCTTCTTCTTCAAATGCATAGCTCTCGTTGAACGTTGATAATCATTACCGTAATTTGAACTTAATCTACTGCTTTACTAAAGTATCGTTGATGGACTTCATATCATTGACGAAGAATCTTTAGTCAGGAAATATTCTTCCAAATTGAAGCTCTCTTTCCTTGTATCTTTCCTATTATTAGCTCTAAGAGTTGGTTGGTACCTATTTATCATTTTTAAAGGTGTGGTGAAAATATTCAAGCTTTTGTTATTTTATAGTAAGTGATAGTATATTTATTCTGATAATACTTCTGCCCACTCATAATATTCTAAGCATCTTATAATATCACATTTCAATTGCCTCCAATTTCTAACACGTGGTATCAATCAAACAGCACGCTTGTAATGTCCTAATGTAAAATGTTTAACATACAAGCAGAATCTCTGTTTGTCTATTTTTCGATTAGTCTGAATATGTTTTTGATATTTTCTATTAAGTAAAAAAAGAATGCCAAGACCACCGGATAATAAGTTTAATGAGTCATACGCTCAAAATATTTTTAAAAATTATACACCGGAGAATACACACCAAACTTGAGCAAGACATAAGTGACACACAATTTGGATTTAGAAATGCACTGGGAACGAGGGAAGCCCTGTTCGCTGTGAATGTACTTGTGCAAAGGTGCATGGATGTTAATCAGCCAGTATATGTGTGTTTCTTGGATTACAACAAAGCCTTCGATAAGGTCAGACATAACCGTCTTATCGAATTACTTGAAAAGACAAACTTAGATATGAGAGACATTAGGATCATTAGCGCTAACTATTTTTTCGTGTTTTAGAACAACGTGTTGTCAAAGGAAATACAGATTGAGAGGGGCGTCAAGTAGCGCTGTGTCCTGTCTCTTATTTTGTTCAATTTGTATTCAGAGGAAATAATCCAGGAAACACTAGAACTAACTATGGGAATAAAAGTAAATGGCCGACCAATCAATAATATATGGTTTACCGACGACGCTATTTTATTAGCGGAATATTTTGAGGATTTACAACAAATGGTTGACTGTGAGTGGTAGAAGTCAGTGAAGTAAATGGACTGTCCCTAAACACAAAAGACACACAATTTATGGTAATTACAAAAGCCCAACATCGCCAAGAAAACATAACAATACATGGAGAACAAATTAAAAAATATAAATATCTGGTTACAATAATTAACGAAAATAATGAGTACATAGAAGAAATTAAGGCAAGAATAGGACAGGCAAGAAATTTTTTCAACAAACTGAAAAAAGTAGGTACTCTGCAGCAGGGAAATTTCAATTTCTTTAAAGATAAGACTTCTGAGATGCTACGTGTTTTCCATATTATTTTATGGGTTGGAGGCTTGGACATTAAAGACAGATGTTTCGGACAGATTAGAAGCCTTCGAGTTATTGGCCTACAAAAGGATATTAAGAATAAGTTGGGTGGATAGAGTCACGAATATCGAGGTGTTGAGAAGAATGAGAAAAGAAAAACAGGTTTTAAATACAATTAAAGTCAGAAAACTGCAATATCTGGGACATGTCATGAGGGTCGAGCGTTATAACTTATTGCAATTAATAATGCAAGGAAGAATACAGGGTATAAGGAGTCGCAGAAAAAGACGCATCTCCTGGTTAAATAATTTAAGAGCTTGGTTAAACTGCACTTCTGCTGACCTCTTTAGAGCAGCGGTAAAGTGCGAATTGCCATGATGGTTGCCAACCTTCTTAGAATAGATAGCACATGAAGAAGAAGATTAAGTAAAACTTAAAGTTCTTTGTTTACTCTGATAACAATATACAGACAAATTCCGAGTTCCAACATGGAAAAGATTATAATACCCATGTTCGTCCGTCTAAAGATCTGGTCTACTGGCAAGGATTGATCCCATCGTAAACCGATAATCTCAACGGAAATAAGGGCTCGTGTGACAGTCGTAGCGAACTACGAATGCCTAGTAAAGTCACATTGTTTTGAGCCTTTCGACTCTCGGAACTCCAAGAGATATCGTTGCCACCTTTGACTAGAAAGGATAAGGCCTTAGAGCCGTTCAGGCATAATCCCATGGATGGTAGCTTCGTACCATTACCCGCTCGAGTCAAGTGTGTCAACCAAATTCGAATCTGCGGTTCCTCTCGTACTGAACAGGATTACTATCGCAACGACGAGTCATCAGTAGGGTAAAACTAACATGACTCACGACGGTCTAATGCTCCCCCCAGTCATAATGTTCTAAGCATCATTTTAAATATCTCCAATTTCGTACACGTAGCATCAGTTAAGGTCCACGCTTTTATGCCGAAATTTAAAATGGCTAACACGTAAGTTGAATCCCTACTTATTTTGACTATTATTTTAAATATTCCGGCTACATGTTTATACCATGTTAAAAATGTCTTATTTCGTAGGTATTTAGATTGTTTATTTATTGAAATTGTTGTGATATCAATTTTTGTTCGACCAGTTTTACTTTTTTGTATTGATTTTCACATTCGACGCACATTCAACGCTGATATTCTAGAATAATGTGCATTTGTAAATGTGTGGGTTAATTTCAAATGAACGTTGTTCTTAGAAAAAATAAACAGAAATCTTACATTGACATTTCTGTGGTTTTTGTAAAATTTTGTTACATATGTAGTTCTTGTGATAAACTAATAGGGTATGTAAGGGGATATATATGTTGTTTTTTTAAAAAATCTCAAACAAAACGTTATTAATAAATTTAAAATATATTTATTTATGAAATGTACAGTGAATTAGAGTAAGTAAAGTAGAGTTATTAAAGTTTAATCTTCTGTACCACTACTGTTGTCCTCGCTGCCGATATCATAAACAGATATTATTTCTTGGACAGCTGAATTTAAATTCAACGAATTGTAAAATTCCTAACCAACTGGATTTGATACATACTTCTTCAACCTCTGCAAATCTTTAGCTTTAGAAGGATTTAGTGCCAATGAGGACTCATATAGTTGTTTCAGTTCCAATTCTTTGGGTAACTTTCGTTTGTTTCGTATGTTGATCCTGTACCATAGACCTGTAAATGTATATCTAACTAATACATATGTAAATTCTTTACTCATTTTAATCATTCTAACTTCTTTTAATTTCATTGCTGGTTTAATTTGACGTAAAAAATACTGTTCAACGGCTTTCGTTATATTTAAGAAGACATCATGAGTAATTGTGTCAACTTTGTATGGAGATGTCTAGTGTTTTAATCTTCTGGAATCTCTGCAGAGCACTTTCTTTTCTTGGTATTAATTAGACTAAAATCTTGATCATTGGGTAAATATGTATGACCCCTAATAGGAAACACATATTTATTTAATGTAGTGAAAGTGACCGATAAAATGTACAAAGCAGTACAGAAAAAAAACATAACATAATTTTTGTTTTGGCCTGAACATCTGTCACTTATCAATACGAAATTTCTGGAATATATTTCATTGTGATTTAAATATCTGAGGAAAAATGTTGTGACATCATTTTGGCCTTTCTGGCCCCCTGTTTTTAAATAACTTTAAAACAACATTATTTTTCCCAACATCATAAATCCCAAATACAATCATTAATAGCCAACGGCAATAAAAAACATTACTGTTTACGCATGTGTGGCAAAGGGAGGTTTTGCATATAATGAAAGGTGAGCAACATTATCTTATTTTGTTACGCATATTGTTTTAGTTTATTTTTAATTTTAGTAAACTTTTAAACCTTCAAATGTAGTTTGTGTTCAGTTTTAATTACGTTTGCTTCTTCTAAATTTGCCAACTAAATTTTTACTTTGTAACTATCACATGTGGCACATATATCAGTTCGTGGGAGATCAAACTTGAGATTGTACTCATTCTTGAAAACTGACGAAAACACTAGATAAAACCTGTATTTGATACATTTATAAAAATAACATACATTTTATTTCAGTTGTTTTTTTAAGAATAATGTGATTGTCTTGTATTAAAAGACTCAATGACAGCGGATTAACTTCAAAATTTCCTTTGGTGTTTTTTCGGACTGATTTGTCTTGTGACTGCCTCTCTTGTCTTTAGAGGTCAATAAAGAAATGAGATCTTGAAGCCTTCTTACGCGATCTTTTGTAACACCTTGTATATTACAAAAGGCAGTAAAGCATACAGACTATTCATTTACATCTATAAGACTCTTATAGTAATAAGTGACCATTCGAAATTATTTAGGTGTTTTTGTGAAATGTCTTTTTGGGTAGGATGATAAAATAAAGCTCATTAAATAGGCATCCTAATCGTTTTTTACTCCCAAATCATTGAAATGTGTCAATATATTTTATATACCATCTAGAACGAGAAATCCAGTTTGAGAACGGTGTGTAAAAAATAAGTTGCTGTTTGTGAGTTAAGTTGGTGATAGCAGAATAGTTGAAGGCAAATCGAGAACAGGCCGAGAATTCCAAACTTTTTGTTTCCGAAGAGACTCCTAACTCTGTAAGTAAAGAAAAAAAAATTATATAAAGTTTGTACGAGGCGTGAAAACTATTTGGCTGAAAGAGTGCCATTATTGTTATTTTGAAAAGAGTCGGAGTTTTAATTTTGGAGAGAATCTGAACGAGTGCCGTTTTGTGTAACAGTTTTGGAAGGAGGAAGCAGAGCCACACATGTTTGGAGAATTGGATAGTTTTGCAGGAACACAATCTGGAGACTATATCAGTGTCCGTCAGGAAACATCGCAGAGAGTAAATAAAAAAGGTCAGTCAAAT